CACGGCTGCTGCAAAGGATCCGAAACGTCGGGTCGTAGCTGAAATAATTTTCCAATACTTTTAACTAATATAAATCGCGTTTTAAACCGTTAAAGTGTTTTATTTAAATGACGGTATTTTATCAAAACAAATAATTTATTCCGCATACAACTTTTATTTAAAAGATATACTGTCGGGCTCTGCGGTAGGTGTCGGGTAGCTGGTAGGGATATCGGAAATCCATCCGGGTCGCGAACCACCGTCCACAGGTAAGTTTAATCGTGTACAGTCAGGGAATTTTTCGAATGTCCAGAGCCGAAAAAGGCCGACAGCACATCAGCAGTTTTTCACCTACCTTGAAGTGAATCCCCATGCTCGCCTGTCCTGCTGTATCCACGTCTAATTCGAGTAGGTTGGTTTACTAAGATATAAACATATACACATGGGTAGCGATCGTGTCAATAACGCACAATATACCACATATGAGGCTGCTGGAGACAGAGTGGCCTAATAACAAAAAACATGGTCTATAGTTTACGCGAGTAGTACACATTTAAATAAAAAACTTTAACGGTTTGAAACGCGATATATTAGTTAAACTTATTTGAAAATGAGACTAGGACGAGACGGGAGTCTCCCGTGACCACGGCTGCAAATCGAAACGTCGGGCTAGTTAAATTTTAAACTTAATAAATATCGCGTTTTAAACCGTTAAAGTGTTTTATTAAAACGGAAATATTTATTCAAATTACACGCTGTAAATCCATATTGATCTATATTGAATGGATTATTTATTCAGTGTACACGATTGGATTGGATTAATGTCGTATCGCTAAAATCTCTTCGTAAATAAACCATTGTTTCCAATCGATATGCAAGACTAGCTGTGACAGCGACTTCGTCCGCGTAGGATAGTTAATTTGACCACATTAGTTTTTGTGACCTACGCCTTACCCATGACGTCGATCGTGTCCCGTCGTTCTTGCAAGTTATTCTTGAAAGATAGCCAAATACAGTCGCGAACATTTTCATATCATTTAAAGAGGAATCATTCTTTCGTAAATATTTTCGGGTCTATTGAACCTGTTTCGTAGCGGACGCATCGGTAATCCGATACTGTCTATAGTTTACGCGAGTAGTACACATTTAAATAAAACACTTTAACGGGTTTAAAACGCGATATATTAGTTAAACTTATTTGAAAATGATTTTTAACTTCGGCCCGGCGTTTCGGATGCTTTGCAGCAGCCTAAACAGTATCGCGTTTTAAACCGTTAAAGTGTTTTATTCAAATGTGTCTACTCGCGAACCTCCAGACAGTGCTTAAGCCGAGGTCACGGGGAGAATCGGCTGCTGCAAAATAATTTTCAAATAACGTTTAACTAATATATCGCGTTTTAAACCGTTAAAGTGTTTTATTTAAAAGCATCCAGTAATCCACAGAGATAAATAGTTTTCCCCGTTTTTCTACGCTTATGTTTTAGCCTATAACCTTCCTCGATAAATACTCTAACAAACACAAAAATAATGTCTAAATTCGAACCAATAGTTATTTATTTATTTCACACTTAGGTACACCAAACAGAGCTTACAGATACTATGCAATTTAAAACTATAGAGACTACCGGCCTTATCGATATAAGCGATCTCTTCCAGGCAAATAGTTCCTGAGATTAGCGCGTTCAAACAAACAAATGCTTCAAATTTATATATTGGTATAGATCGGGGTCTATGTGTTTGAACATGTTTTTTAATTTGAAAACTTTATTATTTTTTACATGATGGCACTATATAATTTAAAAATCGAAAATGAATTGAAAATATTTTCGACTCGGGCAGGACTTGAACCGGCATCGTCAGCGTTCCGTGCTGTTGCTCTACCAATTGAGCTACCGAGTCACTCGGACTCTTTCGTTTTGTAATTGTTTTTTGGTTTTTGTCTAAAAAATAAATAAAAATATAAAACTAAAAAACTATAAAGCTAAACTACAGCCGTGTTAAAAGACATTTATTGCAATTTAACTATCCGATTTCGACAGAATTATGACTCCTCGTTCCATTGTGATATTTGTACATGAATATGGCCCAACATTGCGTGTATAGTCGACTGCAGAATATTTTTTTATGATATGGGAAGTGAAAACATCTAAATAAGATTCAATGTCGATCTATTTTGGCTTTGGATATTCGGAAATCCACAGACTGAAATCGAAAGATTGTTAAACTTCTTGGCTTTTTCCATCTGTCGTTTAATATCAAAACTTTCATAGGTAGTCCATGTTTCAGAAAAAATATGCATAGCTTAGAAGAATGATGGACTTGGTGGGGATCGAAGGCACACCCACTTGATTACTTAGCCATACATTGCTACAAGTACACTAACCACTAAGCATAGCGTCGTATTAAAATATGATTAACTAATATATTTCGCGTTTTAAGCCGTTCAACGTGTTTTCAATTTAAAGTACAGTAACATTGTATTTAAAGCCTAAATAACGTTTATAAGTATAGCATACGCTATAGATAACGCGTAGAAAGATCCAATTTGATAACGGATAAACACTTTTTGCATCCGACTGTACTTTGAAACCTATTTTTCCTATATAACATCAATTCATGTAAATAAATAAAACTCAAACGTGGATCTCAATTTTTAGCTCTATTCGAATAGCAATTAACGAAGCTTTTGACAGTTTCAAAAATGACAAAATTCATTTCATCGATACAGAATATATCTATACTACGTCATAAAGCTGGAGAGTTTGTTTCTTGATTGGAGTATTTATCGAGGAAGGGTTTTAGGCTATAAAACATCAAGCTGCAACCAATAAGAATAAAGAAACAATAAGAAATGTGAAAAAATCGGAGAAAATTACCTACTCATCCTTGTGTGTTGCCGTTGCGTGTGTTAGATATTTATTTAAATATACATTATAGGTATAGATGGATATAAGACATTCAAACATATCTAGGAATATTTTGTAAATAAACGAAGATGTCAAATGCTATTTCGTTAAACAAGATATATTTCAACAACATATTCCCCATAATACAGCTACACATTTATTATATACAAACATCTAGGAATTTAACAAATGGTACTCCAATCATATATACATTTTATAGGTATTTATCTATATATTACTCAAGGTTATGATACTTAATTGATATATATAGATGCCAATGGAATATAATAAAAAAGTATATATATCATAACCTATTTATTACAATATAATAATGTACATCATACCTGGTTTAACAACGTCCAACGTTCCAAGATACGTTCAGCAAAAGACAATTCTGGTGTCACCAATGTTCGCACCAATGTACGTTTTCTCAAAAGGGGTTGTCCATTAATCACGTGAGGCTTGAAAGGGGGGGAGGGGTTTGATAAAAATCACGAAAATAACACAAGGGGGGAGGGGGGTGTAGTAAGATATCTCGTGTATTTATTTTTTCGTCAAACGCGCGATTTTTAAACAAATGGTGTAGATACTTTTATTATGGTCCTTAATTTCAGAATAAAATAAGATTATAGTTTTTATTATGTCTCCCTGTGACCACGGCTGCTGCAAAGCATCCGAAACGTCGGGCCGAAGTTAAAAATCATTTTCAAATAAGTTTAACTAATATATCGCGTTTTAAACCGTTAAAGTGTTTTATTTAAAAGATTATAGTTTATACCTATTTATATTATATTAGGATAATATTCAGAAAATTTTAAGATTTTAACGTGATGTTAAGAAGGGGGACGGGGGGTGGTCTTAAACCTCACTACGTATCACCAATGGGGAGGGGGTTTAAAATTCTAAAAAAAGGTCACGGATTAATGGATAACCCCAAAGCAACTGCTCTACCCGCTCTACAGCGCACCCCCTTTTATAACAATCCACAAACAACCGACCAAGTGTTAGACGGACGTCATCGAATATTACGAACATTATTTTAAACATTTTAGTAAACTACCTACTTTGATACATCACAAAAATAATGATTTGTACTAAGCTTAATTATATATACAAAATAATTCAAATAATATCTTACGCGGGCGGGACGCGGACACCGTCGTGGGTAAGAGCTAGTTTTAGATAAATATTGAAATTCAACCTAGCTTTTGCTTGTATACAATTTATTAAGTACAGTCTATAGTTTACGCGAGTAGTACACATTTAAATAAAGCACTTTGACCAGTTTAAAACGCGAAATATATCAATTAACTTATTTAGATTTTATTTTACCTACAGCCCGACGTTTCGAATGCATATCAGCAGCCGTGTTCACGGGAAAGATGAACGGGGAACGGAGAGACCCTCCCTCTCAATAAAAACTCCTACGCTAGCGCCATCTGTTTCATCGTGCGTCGAAATACCAATTACGAGAAAACAGATGGCTAGTGTAGCAGTTTTTATTTTGACATTAGGTATTTATTTGTCAATCTCCCTCTATTATAAAAAAGAATTAATGAGACACGTATAACGGTTTCAAACTTGAAACGTTGCTAAAACCAGCCACTATAACTGCGGGTTATTATATGTGTACCGCAGAGCGTGAGCGATAGACAAAACTTACAGTAATATTTATACTAATACTAGCTGACCCGTTATTTTGCCATATAAATAATTTTACTAAAATGTCTATTAAAAAAATAAGGGTTGATCGTAGAAGGGTGAAAATTGAGGATTGTATGTATTTTTGTATGTTGTATCATAGAAATTAAAAATTTTGTCTAAAAAATAAAAATAAAAAATTAAGGGTGAACAACCCTTATCACTTAGGGGAATGAAAAATAGATGTTGTCCTATTCTCAGACCTACTAAATACACGTATCAAATTTGGTGAAAATCGGTCGAGCCGTTTCGGAGGAGTTCAATTTCGAACACCGTGACACGAGCATTTTATATATTAGATATAAAGAAAGTTCAAGATACCCATTTGTATGAAACAATCTAAAAAATGTTGTCTAGGTACACGGACGAGCAAGTGGGTTAGAGGTGTCAAGTGTCGCTCGTTGTGGGCCACTTATGGCCCAAGGCGGTGTTCAAGCGCTGGAAGCCATGCTGTTCGCGCTGGATGAAGCGGCGCGAGCTGGTCTTCCACCACCCGGAGTGAGACTTGGGGCTCTAGTGCTGGACGACTGCGATAGCGACACGAGAGGGCTGGAGATGGCATTGGATTTTATTAAAGGTAACATCTTTCATAATATTTAGATAAAATACTATATAAAATATATTATTACCACGGGGAGACTCACTGTGACCATGGCTGCTGCAAAGCATCCGAAACGTAGGGCCGTAGTTAGTAATTTTCAAAAAAAAATTACTAAAATATATCGCGTTTTAAACCATTAAAGTGTAAATGTAACTATTAGCATATTTATCAGTCCCCCCGTGACCACGACTACTAGTCAAGCCATAATAACTCAAACGATTTCTGTTTCTTTATGTGTATCGATGCTTGACAGATTCGTTGGTGTAATATTAGCGATGTAATCAACGGGGCGTGGGTTCGGTACCCACCGAGTCCAACATTTTTTCTAATTTGTAATTTTTCTGAAACATGTTGGAGTTCTGGAAATCTGGATATCGAACGGGTACGTCATCATGAACCACCGTCCACAGACGAAAGAGCCGTAAAGTTTAATCGCGTTTCGGTGTGTGGATTTCCGAATATCCAAAGCTAAAATAAGTCGACAGGGCATCTTGTTTAGATGCTATAGGCTAGGGTATTTTACCTACCATAGACCTGATGTGTCAGCGACTTCGTCCTCGCAGAATAGGTATTTTGGGCACCTCATTTTGTTTTTTGCATCTTTATCTCTTGTTGTCTACATCTTTATAAATTTAAGCTGCCCACGACACCGATCGCGTCCCGTCGCTCGCGACCCGTCGTTCGGGACCCGATGTTCTTGCAACTTAATCTCAAAAGATAGACGTACAGCGTCGCGGACATTTTTTCAGCTCATTTAAAGGGAAATCATTCTTATATATATTTTTTTCGGGTGTCTTGAGCCGTTTTCGCAGCGTGCGCATCTGAAACCCCTTGAGATGAAAATTTTCCGCGTTTCATTCACATTTCCCGCTGTATCTTCGCTTCTATTAGTCGCAGCGCGATGTTTTTTAGCCTATATCCTTCCTCGATGAGTTTTATAACCAACACAAGAATAATTTTTAATTCGAACCCGTAGTTCTTGAGGTTAGCGCGTTCAAACAAACAAACTCTTCAGCTTTATATATTAGTATAGATTTTACTTTTTTGTCTACTTCAGGATCCATCAGCAATATAGATGATGAAGATTATGCGTGCAATGCATCATCAGTTCGGAAGGTGATATCTGGTGTGGTTGGTGCTGCTTCAAGTGTGACCTCCGTGCAGGTGGCGAACTTACTACGTCTGTTCAAGATACCACAGGTACATCAACTTTTACCTACAGTCAATCCTAATTCAAAGTTTTATTTATTTACTTATATCCACCGCCTCTGTAGTCAAATAGTTAAACATATTGCCTAGCATTGCGTTAAGCGCGAGGACCTGGGTTCGAATCCCAGGGAAACAAAAAAAATGTTTCAGTCAGGCATGGCACAGTCTGATCAACTACTCGCCTTTTAAAGAACGGATCAGTGAAACGGATACAGAAATGTGTTCGCCCCATGCCCCACGTGGGGGAAACGGGATTTCACACTCACTTACATTCACTGTCATAGCAGACGAACTCCATAGCGACTTATATCCAACTAATCTATACTAATATTATAAAGAGGAAAGATTTGTATTTTTGTATGTAATGGGTAAACTCAAAAAGTACTGGACCGATTTTAATAATTCTTTTTTCATTAGAAAGCTACATTATCACTGAGTAACATAGCTATATTTAGTACTCGATGACTATAGACATCTATAGAAATTCTTACTAAACCAATGAAGGCGTAAAAAAATTAGCCGTAAAATGTCTTTCTTCGCATACGCTGCGAAAAGTATTAATGATAGGACAAAAATTAATCGACAATATTATAGAATATATCAATATCTTTGAAAACTTTTTCTTTTTACATGTTATTGCACATTAAGGCTAAAAACATCGCGAGAGCACGACATAAACCGGCATCGTCCGCGTTCCGTTTTCCCGTTCCCGCCCCCCCCCCCCCCCCCCTTTTCCCCCGCGTTGCCCGGTTTTTTTTGTTTTTTTTTTTTTTTTTTTTTTTTTTTTTTTTTTTTTTTTTTTTTTTTATGTCTAGATTCTACAATCGCGAGCATATGTCTAACTATGTAGTTACGTCGCTATAACTTCTTTTATACATTTAACAAATTAATAGAAATAACGTTAAAAATCAGACCGTGTTGTCCATACCATTTATAAATTTTTATCCGAATAAATAATTTAATATTCAAGACTGTCTCAATACCTGATGATTACTTTTTTAATTATTGAAATGGGACATTCCATAAAAGATATCACGAAGTTAAAAAAGAAATGCATGTCGGCGTGCCGCAACCCCCTCGAGTATTAATTCAACGATAGAGGGGCAGTGGGCTTCTAACTCGCAATAGGCGCGAACGACCTTGAATATTTCGACTATTTTAACATTTTTATGCTTCACTTAAAAAGTTCTTTTCAAAGCTACTAATTTAGTATCAGGAATCACACTTTGCAATATTTGTCAAAGTTCTTTTCAGATATCGCTTTGAACCTGAATTTTTCTTTTGTATTATTATTAGTTTATTCTTAATTTACTGATTTAAAATAAATTCCTTCATAGCAATATGCCCAGAAGAAGAGGGCCCCCCCCCCCCCCAAAAATCCCCCCCCCTTTTTTTGGGGGGCCCCCCCCCCCAAATCCCCCCCCGAAAAGTTTTGGGGGCCCCCCCCCCCCCCCCCCCCCCCGAAACCCCCCCCCCCCTTCCCCCCCCCCTTTCCCCCCCCAAAACCCACCCCCCCCCCCCCCCCCCGGGGACCCCCCCCCCCCCCCCCCCCCCCCCCCCCCCCCCCCCCCGGGGGCCCCCCCCCCCCCTTTTTGGGGGGGCCCCCCCCCTTTTTTTTTTTTTTTTTTTTTTTTTGGTTTTTTTTTTTTTTTTCTCCCTTTTTTTTTTTTCCCCCCCCCCCCCCCCCCGGGGGGGGGGGGGCCCCCCCCCCCCCCCCTTTTTTTTTTTTTTTTCCCCCCTTTTTTTTTTTTTTTTTTTTTTTTTTTTTTTTTTTTTTTTTCCCCCCCCCCCCCCCCCCCCCCCCCCCCCCCCCCTTTTTTTATTTTTTTTTTTTTTTTTTTTTTTTTTTTTTATGACTTTTTTTGAACTAGTTTAGAGTAGTACACATTTAAATAAAACACTTTAACGGTTTAAAACGCAATATATTTGTTAAACTTATATATCGCGTTTTAAACCGTTAAAGTGTTTTATTTAATTTTTTTTACTTATTAATAAATTTGCAACCTCAACGGGCAATGCATACATACGAATACAATTCCCCGCAAATGAATTAGTTATTTTATGAAGCCTTTATTTGGGGATAGCTAGGTTATCCTTATTTCTTTAGTTCAAATTATGTTTGTCTGTGCGAATCGTTTGTGTGGGAATAGAGAAAAATTTCGCTTTAGAGTTTAGACTTTTTTTTAATTCTTCTCCCTAAGACCTAATATAGTAGTGAATATTAGAAAAACTTGATTAGTGTTACTACAGCCTAACATTACGGATGCTTTGCAGCAGCCGTGGTCAAGGGGAATGAAAATGGAGGGTGTCTCTAATGTCAAAGTAATAACAGCAACGTTAGCCATCTGGTACATCGTAGTTGACTACTACTAGACGAAAGGGACCTCCGTGACCACGACTGCTGCAAAGCATCAGAAATATCGGGCCATAGTAAGAAATAATTAATAAGTAAACTAATATATTTCACGTTTTGAACCGTTAAAAGTGTTTTATGATGAGATGTGTACTACTCGCTAAAACTTAAGATATACTTAAGTTAAGGACGATACTTAAGTTATTTTTATTTTATATATTGACTATTATAATCAAAGTTAAACAACTCACTGAACAAAGACTGGAAAAGCTGAAACTATAAAACGGTTATTAAAGCCGGAATGGATCTTTACTGCGAATTTAATTACTACAATATTGTGTAGCACCCAGTGCCGTATTTCGTAGTGGCAGGTGGGACAGGTCTCCGGGGCCCCAGAGCTTAGGGGCCCCTAATCTCATCTGTTAAAATAGATAAGCTTTAAAGGAAAGAGATTTAAATCTATTTTAGATAAAAAATATCTTACGGCATGAGCGGTACTTGAACCTTCATCCACAACGTTCCATGCTGCTGCTCTAACCAATTAAGCTATCCTATCATCGTAGAGTTTCTAGAACATGTTGATACATGCACCTCTCGCGCAATGTAATTTCAACTTTAACATTTCCGAGATAACATCGATTTTTAATTTATGCAATGTTATCATGTGAAATAATATTAAACACTAACTGTGCCCGCAAATTCTTCCGCGTCAGAACAATTTTATTTGCAAACATTCTCCTCAGTTTTAAAAAATGTAGCGCGAACCCGAACGCTGTCATTCGTAACAGGCAAGTTAGTCTTAGTAGGTTAATCATAAAAGAAGAGGTATGCTGTCGTGGTATTTTTTTTAGATTGTATAAAAAAGAAGTCTTTAAATCAATCAGTTTCTTGAATTCTCGCAGCGCAATTTTCATCGCTTTTTCCACATTTCCCTATGTTATTTCGTTTCTATTGGTCGCCACTATGATTCCTTAACACAAACAGAAAATTATTTCAAACTGGTAGTGCCTGAGATTAGCTCGTTCATAGAAAAATTGTTCTTCTCTATAATTTTGGAGGCTTTAAGTTCAATACGCGTAAAGACAAGTAGAGGGCCCGATTCCCTCTGTATGTACGGGGCCTTTGCCCACTCAGCTACATCCCTGGTAGCACTTGACCATTACTAACTCCAACTTTGTCTCTTCATAACTAACTATTTTATAAGTGGCATTTGCTTAGTTAAATCTCTAATGAACGTGCATAAAATACAAGTAGATATTATAGAATTATGATAATGATAATTTATGAAAATCGAACCTATTGCACCTAATGCGTTTAACCATTGGGCCGCGGCGGCAATTTCTTTAAGTATATAGGAAATCAAATAAAACAATTTAACGGTTTCAAACAGGAATTATATCAATAATTTTAAGCCTACGACCCATTGCGGTTCTCTTTGCAAATCCTCGGGGACACAGGAAATTAGGTCAAGTAACATGATGCAGCAACCGTGCAGCAAGTTAATAAGTTCACTAATTTTTTTATTAGACGGTTTATAACGCAAAACATATTAGATAAGTACTATTCTTAATTTATATTTATATTTTATATGTAAATTACTTATTTTTATTTTATTACCCGACCCTCGTTTTTGATACTGAGCAGAAACCGTGGTCACGTGGTCACAGTAAACTAATAAGTGTCGAGTTTAAAGTCGTTACAGTCTTTTATTTAAAAGTGTACTATACGTGTAAGCTACAGACAATATCCTTAAGTACATTTACGTGCACGTTGGTGTAATGTAATTGACGGGTCGGTTTAGTCTGTGGGTTTCCGAATACCTAAAGTCAAAATAGGCGATTGTCTGTCTACTATCATAAAAATATATATTCACTTAAAACATCATTTCAGGTTTCGTTCTTCTCCACCTCACCTGAACTGTCAAACAAAGCCCGCTTCGAGTACTTCACCAGAACGATCCCATCAGACCTTCACCAAGTGAAGGCGATGGTGGAAATCGTAAAGGTCTTGGGTTGGAGATACGTGTCCATCATTTACGAGGAGTCCAATTACGGTATTAAGGTAAAAATTAGAAATCTATACTAATATATAGGGCTGAAGAGTTATTTACAATTTATTTCAATTAAGGCCCGACGTTTCGGATGCTTTGTAGCGTCTATGGTTACAGGGGGACTGAATGTAGAGGGTGTCCTTAGTTCAACTTATAGTTAGTGTTTTATTTAAATGTGTACTACTTGCGTAAACTATAGACAGTATTTAACTACTTCATCTATTATCTATTACCATCTGAATCGTCAGACTGTAGTCAAATTAAACCATTGAAAGTAATTTTATTTTATTTTACTTAATGAAATATTGCTTTTTAATGTGGTAAGTAGTGTTAAAACTTAAAGAAGTTTGCCTGCCTACTTATTAGAAAAGATAGTTTTTTTTGCTTACTACGGCTCGAAGTAATTCAGAACTTACTACAGGGATATATAAGAATAAATATTATTTGTAACGTTTGAAAACTGGCCAGAGTGAAAGAGACAACAATTTAATACTCTATCCTTGTTCCACACGCAGAAATAATGATCTTATAGCGTCCAAAAATTAAACGTTACATCTATAAGTAAATGGCCTAAGTTTTCAAGCGACACTTGACTTTTTTATTCTATTATATATAACCTGTTAAGTCGAAAACAGTTTTACGAAGTTATGTCGTCAAAACTTTTATTGCTCGTTCATCTTAGTTTTAAATTTTAGAAAGTTTCACAGAGGAGTAAGCTGTGAAGTTTAATCGCGTTTCGGTTTTAGTCTATGGATTTCCACAGACCAATGTCAAAATAGGTCGATAGCGCATCTTGTTTAAGTATATGGCTAGGGTATTTCATCTCCCATCATAAAATAAAACTAAGGAGGGTAATCCTATTTCGAATACCAACTATGATTAAACAGATGGCGCTAGCGTAGCTTATTTGACTTTGACATTAGGGACACCCCCAATTTTATCTATGAGTAGTCACATTAAATTAAAAATAAGAAAAGTTGTGTAATTTATTTTCGAACTAAAGTGTTTAATTTAAATTAAATATTGCTTAATTTTTAGTGTAGTGAGAAGTTTTAAAATAAAAATGCCGTACAAAGTTTTTTCGTCAAAACTTTGATAGCTCGTTCGTCTTAGTTTTAGGTTGTACATTTTTTATTGCAGGCGTTTGAAGAACTGGAGACGCTGCTAGCTAGAAATGACATCTGCATTGCGGTCAAAGAGAGATTGGCTAAGGATTCCGGAGCAGCTGATGAGAAGGGCTATAATGATATAGTTGAGCGGCTTCTGTCTAGACCAAGGGCTCGAGGTAAGTTTAATTTAATTTTAATTTCTAATTAAATGTAAACTTTTAAATTAATTTAATTTAAAGGGTTTATAAAGGAAATAAACTATTATGAAACATGTATTTTTTAGAGTTGGACTCGAACCCGCGACTCGTTTATTTTCATGGCTAACCGCTATATTTATAAAAGTAAAGATGTAAAAGAATAAACAAATAATCTGACGCCCAAAATATTCCACGCGGACAAAGCAGCGGGCACAGCTAGTAAGATATTAAAAAATGTCTTATTTATTTAATTACAGACAAACATTTTAAGACTAAACAATGAGTTTAGTCTAAAAATTACAGACAGACAAACTGAAGATGAAATTACAAAGTTTAACGTTTGAAAACTTTAATATCTTTTGATAAAAATATAATTTTAATTGAAATAGTGCGATCATATGAAAAATGGTAAAGCTTTCAAAATAAATTTGCTTGTAACCAGGTGTTATAGTATTTGGTTCGGACCAAGAAGTGGCTGGGGTAATGGCGGCAGTTCAACGTCGGAAAGCGGAGAACACCTTCGGATGGGTGGGATCTGACGGCTGGAGCGCCCGAGCTCTTGTGGCTGCAGGGAACGAGCCAGTTGTGGAAGGAACGATTAGCGTACAACCTCAGGCGAACCCAGTCAAAGGCTTCAAGGAATACTTTCTGGGTTTGACACCGGAGAACAATGCTAGGAATCCTTGGTTTGTCGGTAATTTGCAAGTGAATAGAAACCAATTTAGATTTTTAGTGATAGAGCAAGTCAAGTCCATGTTCACTTGATGTCTTGGCTTTGGATATTCAGAAATTAACTGGCTGAAACCAAAACGCGAATAAACGTGATTGATTCATCTATAAACAGTGGTACGTGAGCCAGGCGGAATTTTCGATATTCCTATTACGCATTTAATAAGATTTCTAGACTAAGTCTAAAATAATTTAAATAAAACACTTTAACGGTTTAAAACGCGATATATTAGTTGCTAAGAGTTACTGCGATATATTAGAACCAATATATCGCGTTTTAAACCGTTAAAGTGTTTTTTTTTAATGTGTACTACTCGCGTAAACTATAGACAGTATTTAATCTATCCAGTACGGGCTGGAAAATGCAAACTAATATATCGCGTTTTAAACCGTTACAGTGTTTTATTTAAATGTGTACTACTCGCTACTTGAAAATTACACTGCTACCATCACACCGGCGAGCCAGTCACAATCTGTTTGTAGTTTGCGCGAGTAGTACGCATTTAAATAAAACACTTTAACGGTTGTAAACGACCACGGCTGTCACAAAGCTTCCGAAACGTCGGGTCTTAGCTATAATAATTTGTATTTAGCAAGTTTAACTAATATAATTTGTTCGCGTTACAAACCGTTAAAGTGTTTTTTAAGTATTTAATATGTTTTAGTTAGTAAAAACTACGTAAATATTATGAAGATTAAAACTATACTTTGAAAAGATGCATTATTATTACATAAAAAGGAGAATATAATGATCATCCGAAATTTTCCAGAATTCTGGGAAGAGCAATTCCGTTGCCGCTATCCAGGTGCCCCAAGGACACCGTACAACACCCACTACAGGGCTTGCACGGGACAAGAAAAACTATCTGCTGATAACACAGAATTTGAAGCTCAGCTGCAGTTTGTCGCTGATGCAGTGTGGGCTTTTGTATTCGCCATAAGGTAGTAATTTGATTTGAGGATGTTAACTCGTACTTTGCTTAAAGTAGGATGAAACTATTCGACTTACATCGTTCAGTATATCATTGTTTGTTGGCCAACGTGAGTGAGAGGAGGTTCCCTACGTTTCGCCATCACGAGCGGACGGCATCATCAAGAGATGAACACCTCGCTCACGTCGTCCAAACAGCCCGAAAAACAATGATATACTGTTATCAGTATTAGGTATAAGTATATAAATAGCAAAACAGTAACATATGTTAAGAATAAATATTTATTTAAATAAAAAATCTAATTGGTCGTTTTCGTGATGACGTCACTTGCTTATACCTGCATAAACCACTTCCTAGTGTTAAAACTGTTCAATTCTCTGCATTAATCTATATTTATAATAATATATAAAGCTGAAGAGTTTGTTTGTTTGAACGCGCTAATCTCAGGAAGTACAGGTTCGAATTGAAAAATTATTATTGTGATGGTTAGAGCATTTATCGAGGGAGGTTATAGGCTTTTAACACATTTCGATGTGACTAATAGGAGCAAAGATACAGCGAGAAATATGAATAAAACGGGGGATTTTTTTATCTCTGTAGGTTTCAGATGCGTACGTACAATATCTACAAAAAACGTCCGAGACGAGACCATTTGTCTAACTATTGTAGTTACGTCACTACAACTACTTTTTATACATTTAACAAATTGGTAGAAATGCCGAACAAAATCAAAACGTGTCCATCCATACCATTAATTGATTTTTATTAAAATATAAATTAAAGATTTTAATATTATTATAAATGCGAAAATAACTCTGCCCGTCTGTCTGGCTTTAACTCCGAAACCACTGACCTGATTTAAATGAAATTTGTTAAATAGATATTTCAGAGCCTGAGAAAGGACATAGGCTACTTTTGCCAAAAAAGGGTTGATAGGGGTTGAAAGATGGGATGAAATTTTTTATGAAAATTTCGTTGTTTTTGAAGCTAGAACAATGAAACTTACTTCTTTGGCTTTTTGGGAATAGGAGTGGGAGTGGGAATGAGAGTGGGAGTTAGAGTACGAGTATGTAGGTGAGAGTGTTGCGGCAAAATAGCACTTACAACATAGATTGACTGCCTTAAATACGGCCTTACATAAATTAATAAGCAGCCTCAATAATTAAAAATTAGTAAACTGCGGCCCGCGACTTTATCCGCATGGAATAGTCCATGCGGACGAAGTCGCGGGCACAACTAATATAAAAAGCTGAAGAGTTTGTTTGTTTGTTTGAACGCGGTTATCTCAGGAAATACAGGTTCGAATTGAAAAATTATTTGTGTGTTAGTTAGAACATTTATCAAGGAAGGCTATAAAACATCGCTGTGACTAATAGAAGCGAAGATACAGCGTGACAAGTGAACAAAAGGGGGGAAAGCTTTCATCTCTGTAGGCTTCAGTTGCGTACGCTGCGACAACGGTTCAAGATATGTCTATCTTTTAAGATTAACTTGCAAGAACGACGGGAAGGGACGCGGCCGACGTCGTGGCTAACAGCTTAAGTTTATAAAGATGACGGGGTTTCACAAAAACTAATTTGGATGCCCAAAATAATGTTCTCGATGCGGACGATGTCGCTGGCGCAGCTAGTTTGATATATCTCAGCTAATATGTATCAGACTTCAAAAATATTATTCTTCTAGGGTTAGAAACACTTTTCCCTAACGGTTTGGATAAATCTTATCAAATTCTTTTTCTTTTAGGGACATGCATAAAGACCTCTGTGGTGGTGAAACGGGACTGTGCGAAGCGATGCGACCCGTCAATGGCCCGACTCTATTGAACTATTTGCGTAACGTCCGTTTCACAGGTATTTGTTTGTGACGTTCGTGAAAATTCTGAGAGATTAGTGCAGAGCTGCGTGTGGAAAAATATATACTTTTTGAAAAATATAATTCTAGTATTTTTCGTGATTTTCACGAGCTTAATAAAATACTTTGAATATATTTGAAAAAAAATATTTTAGGTATCGTCTGCAGTTTACTCGAGTAGAATAACATTTAAATATAATGCTTTTAACGGTTTAAAACGCGATAGTAAATTAGTTAATTTATTTGTTTTTTTTTATCTGTGGTTTAGTGAATTTTTAAACGCGTTATATATTCGGATGCTTAACAGCAGTCTTGGTCAAGGGGGATCGAAGATGGAGAGTCTCCCTGATGTCAAAGTTACCCTAGCGTCATCTGTTCTTTCGTAGTTGGTATTGGGAGAAACTAGCTGGGCCCTTGCAGAACTGACTCTCCTATAAATATCTTTCCAACTCTTCATTTAGTTTCTCTTTACTAGCTTTTACCATATACCTTTGCTTTTCTTTATTATTCCGTATGAATTTCAGGTTGCCTGGTAGAGATCGCTGCTTAGCGATAAGTCCGCGTTTTGTTTATAAGTTAGTACGTAAAAAAGTCTCTTTTACATTTTCTTTAGTTCAGTCGTGAATTTAAATAAAACTCTTTAACGGTTTAAAACGCCATATATTTTAGTTGAACTTGTTTGAAATTTATTTTTAACTGGCAACGTGACCACGGCCGCTGCAAAGCATCCGAAACGTCGGGCCGTAGTTAAACATTTTTTATTTCAATGTGTACTACTCGCGTTAGCAGACAGTATTAATGTGTATTATAAATAATAAAGCCATTAAAAAAGTTTACTAATACAATTCGGGTTTTAAACGGTTGGGTGTTTTATTTCAATGAGTTTTCAAACATTGTAACATAATAGTAATCATCGTTCACGTAGGGGAAAGGGAATTTTAGCCAGGGCTCCCTCAAAACACTTCACTGGCCTTCTGGTGTATTTAGCGGTTCTGGTCGGCTATTATCTCCAAAGAGGTCGTAGTACGGCTTACCACACTCCCCACGTCACTATTGCCAGACGTCGTCGTGCATTGGTCCACACCATCAGTAAAAAAGGAGAAAGGGACTCTCATACAATGTTTCACCAGGTCTCAGCGGCGATGAGTTCCACTTCGATCAGTACGGCGATGGTCCAGCCCGGTACAACATCTTGCATTTCAAGCAAGTGTCAAGGGGGGTCTATCGCTGGCTCAAAGTTGGCAACTATCTCGATGGAGAGCTTCAACTGAACATGGACGGTGAGGGGAATTTCATCTACTGTTAATATCTATACTAATATATAAAGCTGAAGAGTTTGTTTGAACACCTAATCTCGAAACTCCGAATTGAAAAAAAAAAATTGGCCGAATTAAAACCGAACTGAATTTAATATATCGCGTTTTAAACCGTTAAAGTGTTTTATTTAAATGTGCACTACTGGCGTAAATTATAGACAGTATTTAAAATTGTATTGGTTAGAGCATTTATCGAGGAAGGCTTCAGCTATAATACATTGTGCTGCGACTAATAGAAGGGAAGTCACAGTGGAAAATGTGGGAAAACTTCCGCGACTTTTAGAATAGTTATTTTAGATAACGTAATTAGTTTTGCAAACCTCACCATCTTTATATATTTTAGCTGTTACCCACGACGTCGTCCGCGTTCCGGCGTTCTTGCAACTTGACCTTAAAAGATAGACATATACTGTCTCAGACATTTTTTTAGATCCGTTTAAAGAGGAATCATTCTTATTTACATATTTTTCGGATATCTTGAATCGATTTCGCAGCGCACGTAACGGAAACTCTCAAAGAACTCCGTTTTTTCACATTTCCCACTGTTATGTACGGCCGCAGCGTAGTGTTCTATAGCCTTAAGTCTTTCTCGTTAAATCCTGTGAGACCAACAAGAAATTTTCAATTCAAACCAGTAGTTCCTGAGATTAGCGCGTTCAAACAAACAAACTCTTCAGGTTTATATGTTTCAGGCATTTGGTTAATAATTATATATTACTAGCTGACCCGGCAAACGTTGTTTTGCCATATAAATAATTTATAACTAATTAAATGACGATTGATAATTTTTCTACGGGAGGGGAAAAATTATTAAATTACTAAAATGGCTATTAAAATATAAGGGTTGATCGTAGAAGGGTGGAAATTGAGGATTGTGTGTATTTTGTATCCTAAAAAAAAGTAGTACTACCCCTAACATTTAGGGGGATGATAAATGATGGTGGCCGATTCTCATAGGTACCGGATAAGCACAAAAAATTTCATCAAAATCGGTCAAGCCGTTTCGGAGGAGTATGGCAACGAAAACTGTGACACGAGAATTTTAAATATTAGATGTATTTGTATAAGTCCTTGGATAATGTCAAGATTAGTGCCCTTTGTTTCTCTAGTAGTGAAATCCCGTTTCCCCCTCGTGGGGCATGGGGCGAACACATTTTTGTGTCCACTGATCCGTTTTTTCACAGGCAAGTAGTTCATCAGACTTCTGTGCCCTGCGCGACCGAAACATTTTCTTTTCCTCTAGGATTCGAACCCAGGACCTCTTTTTTGACTACAGAGGCGGTTGTTTCTCCAACTTATCCTAAAATAAAGAATTAGAAAATAAAGAAACACTTTAACGGTTTAAAACGCGATATATTAGTTAAACTTTTTTGAAAATGATTTTCAACTTCGGCCCGACGTTTCGGATGATTCGCAGCAGCCGTGGTCCTCCCGTGACCACAGTACAGTACGTACCAGGCAGTATTAAAATAATGATCTTCATTCCCATTCAGAGATCCAATTTAAGTGGGAGGAGCGGAGACCACCCGAATCTGTTTGCAGCGCGGAATGTGATTTGGGACAAGCCAAGCAGTATGTGGAGGGAGAGAGCTGTTGCTGGCATTGTTTCAACTGTACACAGTATGAGGTAATAATAATTATTGTACTGTCTATAGTTTACGCGAGTAGTACACATTTAAATAAAACACTTTAACGGTTTAAAACGCGATATATTAGTTAAACTTATTTGAAAATGATTCAGCAGCCGAAACGTCGGGCCGAAGTTAAAAATCATTTTCAAATAAGTTTAACTAATATATCGCGTTTTAAACCGTTTATAGTGTTTTATTTAAATGTGTACTACTCGCGTAAACTATAGACAGTATCTAACATTATACCAACAAACCACAGCCTAAGTTTAGAAAGTAACTATATAATTGTTGAAATTATAAAGAGAATAAAGTATATTTTATTTAGATTATAAAACGTACATTGATGTACACTATCAAACCACACCCCAATAGGATTTAAATTTTTGAAAGAAACTAAACATTGTTATATATAAGTGAGTTCGTAATACTAACTCATATATTTTATTGTTTCTGGCGTAGCACTGTCGGGCCTCACTTTGTACGTTGAGTCGATTTGAATAACTTATTGGATATGAAAAAGGTCGCCGGAGCGGAATAAAACAATTCGAAGTTCCAACTCTACTTGGTGATATAATTTGATGTGGATTTGCCAAGTACTAGATGTATCAGCGACTTCGTCCGCTAACAACATTTATTTTGGGCATACAAATTTGTTTTGCAAGCCTTTATAGCCATTGCCCACGACGTCGGGCACGTCCCTACCCATTGTTCTTGCAAGTTAATCTTAAAAGATAGACATATAGAGGAATCATTCTTTCGGACATATTTTTTATGTATCTCGAACTTTTTCATTTTCCGCTATATTTTCTCCCCTCTAAGTCGCATCGCGATGTTTTATAGTTTAAAGCCTGCCTCAATAAATGACCTAACCAACAAAAGAATATTTTTTCAATTCTATTACCAGTAGTTCCTGGGATTACGGTGTTCAAACAAACAAACATCCTCACCAGCTTTATATATTATATTAGTATAGATTTGTGCCTTCGTACTTACTTTTAGCCATCGCTTTCTGCTATCACCATAAATAATGCGGCAGAAATCTTTAAAACCCGCTACCTACCCCCAAGATCGAAGACCCACCCCGCTAGAGCAACGTGGCGGGTCTTTGATCTTAATATTCTCTAAATCCATATGTATAACGTTTTAAATAAGAAAATCTGAGCTATTCAATTGTTTTCATGTTAAAGATTATGTTTGATGTCATTGAATTTTTAATAAAACTATATCGACGTAGTACAACGTATTTGCCGTAAGCCGCAAAATAAAAAATGTTCAACAGAGGTAAAAAACTTTTTGTGAAATGAAAAAAAAAACTCGTGACTCAAATACTACACATCGTAGGAACACGATTTTAAAAGCGTATTTTAATTATTTCTCTCTTTAATATGTTGGCTATAAAGACATTCTACTCACTCAACTGCTCTCCGTGTTAGAGTGGCTTACAAGCTAATTATTTTTTACTGATCTACATAACGCTGTAACCTTAGGGAATTTTCTTTGGCAACTAAATATTTATATTACGTTTAGATCTATAAGACGTTGTAAAAGACATACCGGTCTAGTTTTATAGTATAGTTAAAAATGCGTAAACCGTGGTGAAGAAATCTCTTGCATTGATATTATTGATTTAACTGAATAGAGTAGGAAACTGTTTTACAAATGAAAGACTTCGAACACTTAAACATTGCTTCTTTTAAATAAAACACCAACGGTTTAAAACGCGATATATTAGTTAAACTTATTTGAAAATGATTTTTAACTTCGGCCCGACGTTGCGGATGCTTTGCAGCAGCCGTGGTCACGGGGGTTCCCTGACCCGTTAAAGTGTTTTATTTTAATGTGTACTACTCGCGTAAACTATAGACAGAATTAAATTGCTTCTTTTATTAAAACTTATTATTATAATGACTTATAACATCGACAAAATCAAATACAAATTAAATCATAAATAAAATCAGATATAAAAAAACGAAAAAATATCATCCCGCTAAACTGGCGTAAGCCTCGGTTTGAAAAATTAGCAGACTGCAAAAATGGCGTAACCAACCACTGCGTAAAAAGTACTCGTTTGTGTCTTTTTTTTCTTTTAGACTTTGGTAGACGGTTTCAAATTAAAAAAAAAATATTTTTGTGTCGGTTAGAGCATTTATCGAGGAAGGCTATAAAACATCGTCCTGTGACTAATAGGAGCGAAGATACAGCGGGAAATGTGACAAAAATTAGGAAAATTATTCCTCATTATGGGTTTCCGAGGCGTACGCTGCAAGGATGATGTCTCTTTAAATTATAAAAAGAAATGTCTATCTATCTCTTAAAATGAATAACAAGGACGCGACCGATGGACGTAGGTAACAGTTTACAAAAACATTTTTGGTTCCCAAAATAACAGTTCTACGCGGACGAAGTCGCTGACTCAGCTAGTATCAATATATAGAGAAAGTTTGAATATTCTGACAATTGTCTTTTTTTTCACTAAACAGCTATGTGCAAGCCAGTTCGAAATTTAAATTAAAACTTTAATCAGTTACCCCTTTTGGTCGCCATATTGCGCGGGATTTGATCCTCCTTAGAGTTACCTCTTCGGTCGCCATGTTGCGGAGTAGATCGTTCCATTTTCAAATTTATTTCGCCTAAACTTGACAGATATGGATTTTCATACAACTATTGCCTCGACGTATAGCAAGTTCGATTCTCATTGGAGAAGGTTGTCAAAATAATGCTCAAATATTTAAGCATTTTGAGAAAAGGTTTTCCTTTTTTTTAATGATAGAGAAGGACAGAATAGCAACTGGGGTTTACTCGATGGTAGGTGAAATACCACAGCCTATAGCATCGAAACAAGAGCGTCACCGACCTATTTTGGCTTTGGATATTCGGAAATCCACAGACTGAAACCGAAATCGCGGTTCAGCTTCACGGCTTTTTCATCTGTGGACGGTGGTTCGTGACCCGGGCGGAATTTCGATATTCCTACCATTTTTCCAGATTTCCAGAATCGAACATGATTGACCTGGTGGGGATTGAAACACGACCCGTTGATTATTAGCCGTACATTGCTACCATTAGACCGAGAGAAAAGCATCTTTCCTATATTTCAGATAAGATCACCGTATTCGGAGACAGCCTGCGTGGAATGTCCACGTGGAACGCTACCAGATGCGCTGCGCACACGTTGCGCTCTCATACCAGAATTATACCTGAAGCCATCATCACCAGCAGCTATCGGAGCCATGACTTTCTCCGCTTTTGGAATCTTATTGACTATGTATGTTCTCTACTATTCTGTTTAAGTCTGCGTCAAACCATTTAAAAATCGAAAATAAATTGAAAAAAAAAACATCGACTCGGGCAGGACCTGAACCGGCATCGTCAGCGTTCCGCGCTGTTGCTCAAGTCCTGCCCGAGTCGAAAAAAATGTTTTCAATTTATTTTCGAATTTTAAATTATATAAATATCAAGAAATAGGTTAAATTAAAACTCAAACCGTCTTAAACGCGAATATATGTGTAGTAGTGTGTAAACACGTCCAAGTGCTCTCTAAGTTTTCGGGATTAAAAAATATTTTAATTACTTAAAAAGTAAAACTGATGTGTGTAGTGATGTTCTAATAACCCATTGCACTAATTTCGCTAATTTTTCCTCACGAATTTTTCTTTTTATAACACTTTTTTCACTTTCGTATACTTTTGTTTACTACTCCTACCCACATTAAAAACAATAATGGAAGAACTCAAGAACTATGTTGGATGTATCTGAAATGGTATCCCTGAAGTGGAAGAATTCCACCAGCGTCTTCAAAACTTAGCAACGCATCACTACAGCAGGCACGAATCAACCACAGCAGGAAGCTGTGCAATGGAGACATGCCCACTAGCTAGAGAGTTTGAGGTATTTCGTAGCTCAGTATTGTTCTGCCTCGAAAATCTTCAGGCTCAGATGCAGATTCTCTTTAAAATGCATGACGAGCAGGAGATGCGGAGTCGACGCAAATTTTTGTTACTACATGGTGTGAACGAGACGAAGGACGAAAGTTCTGCCTCAGTAACCAAAATGATGTCCGTCCTACTTAAGTTGCCTGACGTAAACGAGGATTGTTTAAGCCGTTGCAGTAGAATGGGTGTCAAAAGAGGCAATAAACCTCGTCCATTACTCGTAAAGTTCCACGATGTGGAGATCAAGGATAAAATTTGGATGGCTAAAACTAACTTGAAAGGTACTGGCATCACATTATCGGAATTCTTAACCAAGACACGCCACAAACTCTTCATGGCTGCTAGGAGTAGGTTCGGTGTTTCCAACTGCTGGACTCGCGGAGGGTCTATTTACGCTTATGGAGAGAACAGAGAGCGTCGCCGCATCACTTCCATGAAAGATATTGATGTTATTCCCGAAAGCGTCCCTCCTGTGGTTCTGGACTCTGTACCTTCCTCCGGTCGCAACGCGAGAAACCCTACAAAAAAGGCCCAAGCCAAGTCGCAAATGACATGAATTGTTGTGTCTAATGTCTTCTCAATGTAGTATACTTTTGTTTTTTAGGCTTTCTATTACATATGCAGGTAATATAATTAATTTTAACTTTTCCAATAGTACCATTAATCTAATTTAATTTGTTACTTACTTAATCATGTTTGTTTATTTAAAGTAGACTGTATGTTTTGGTTTAACTCATAATAAACATTTGTTTCATGACAGTTGACTGTACCATGCCAAGCGCTTCGTTATTGCAGAATCGTCAATTGTCAACAACCAAAGTAACCACAGATAATCTAGTAGACTAGTAACGAATACCGTCAGGTATTCGTTACTATTCTTTATTCAAATGAGTATCTTATTTATCTCGTTTTGTTTTAATTATGTTACCTGCACGTTAAACTCAAACTAATGTATTTAATACCATTTGTATACTTATATTATTGTCCATAATTGCTTCTTATTTTGTATTGTGTGATATATAATATATACTTACAAATTTAGCGAAAAGTGCAAAGTACTATGTACTAACTTAGAGTATTAGGTTGATAAGTAGTACCTTACATAAGAAATACTTATATTTTTTTCTCTACAATTATGTATAATTATGATAGTGACAATTCAGAATACCTCTCTCTTTCATCCTCGGATGAAAGTTCTTTTAAAAGCGCTGATTCCTCTGTAATTCCTTTAGATATTACTCTTTCTTCACTTTTCCATAATCTGCCCAAAAAATTCAATGCAATCCATATTAACGCTCAAAGCATTCCTGCGCATTATACTGATTTTATATCCTCATTTGTCTCAAGTAATGTCCATGCCATATGCGTATCAGAAACATGGCTCAAACCTTCTCTCCCTTCCCACTCCTTTTCCCTCCCTGGTTTTAATCTAATTAGAAATGACCGAGTAGGAATGCGCGGTGGAGGCGTTGCTATTTACCTGCGGTCACATATTCCTTTCTCAATCGTTAGCCAATCGCCCCAACCGCCCCCAGCCAATGCTGCCGAACACCTGCTCGTTGAAATCCTACTCTCTAAAACTAAGTTACTGCTTGGTGTCTTTTATTCGTCGTCAGCATCTGTCAATTATTTTGAATGTTTTGAAAACACTCTTGATTCTTTTGTTCCGTTATACAATAATACAATATTAATGGGTGACTTCAATACATGCCTCATAAAAGATGACCATCGATCGAAAAAGCTAATATCTATCTGCAACTCATACAACCTTCACAATCTACCTCTCAGTGCTACGCATAAATCTCCTAACTTTAATCCTTCCTTGTTAGATTTAATTTTTACCTCTACTCCTCACCTAGTCTTTCAACACGGTCAGCTTCCCGCCGTTGCCTTTTCTTATCACGATTTGATCTACGTTTCTTTTAACATCAAACCTCCTAAACATAAACCTACCGTTGTCCTTCGCCGCAATCTCGCTGGAGTTAACCCTCAAGCGTTGAATAATGATGCTTTGGGGATTGATTGGAGTGGTGTGCACGAGTCTGATTCCTTGGACGGTAAAATCGATCTGTTCAACAATGCTATCACCAAACTTTATGATAAACATGCACCATTAAGGCCAGTTAAATTAAAACACTTACCTGCTCCATGGCTTTCCGAAGACCTTAAATCACTCATAAATAAAAAGAACAGAGCGAAGGCTAAGATGAGGGCCGCTAAGTCTGCGATCGAACGCGAAGCATATAAGAGAGTGCGTAATCGTTGCAACACTCTGTGTCGCGATGCCCAAAGACGCCATATTCATGACTCTGTGTCCAGCGGTGATACGTCCAAGACCTGGAAGTTCCTTAGACACCTGGGTGTGGGCAAGCCTTCTCGACCTGATATCCCTTCTTCCTTCGATATAAACAATTTGAATTCCTATTTTACATCTCCCTGTATTCCTAATGGTTTCAACTTGGAACGCTCTTTGAATAATATTTCATCCTTCCCTACTCCTGACTTTGCTCCTTTCTTTTTTACTTCACTTACTGATAGAGACATTGAAAAGAGCATATTGTCTATATCTTCGAATGCCGTTGGAAGTGATCTTATCAGTCGTGCTATGATCTTGCCTATCCTCCATATTATCCTACCAGTCCTTACTCATATACTTAATTTTTCTATTTTTTGTAGTAAATTCCCCGATTCCTGGAAATCTGGTTTAATCATTCCTGTTCCCAAAAAATCTAATCCCAGTCACGTTTCCGACTTTCGACCTATTTCTATCCTACCTTTCTTGTCAAAAGTCCTAGAACGTATTATCCACCAGCAACTCAGTAAGTTTCTAAACAAAAATTCTATCCTTGATCCACTTCAATCCGGTTTCCGCCCGGGTCATAGTACGACCACTACACTTGTAAAGGTTACTGACGATATTCGTCAGGGTATGGACAGTAAGCAGCTCACGGTATTGACTTTATTAGATTTCAGTAATGCTTTTAATACTATAAATTTTGAAGTGCTTCTTAGTCTTCTACATTCCATTAATATTTCTCCCACTGCTCTTAACTGGTTCTCGAGTTACCTTCACGGTCGTCGTCAGCGCATCAGCGGAGGAGGAGACATTATTTCTAAGTGGAATGAATAAAGCTGGTTCCCAAGGGTGGTGTCCTTCTCCTCTTCTGTTTGCGGTATTTATAAATTCTCTAACCATCACCTCTCATCTTCCTTCATTTATATGCTGATATCTTCAGATCTATGCCCAATCTTCTCTTGATGACCTTCCACTTGCTATGCAGAAGATAAATAATGACCTACGTAAAATTGAAGAATGGTGTAAAGATTTTGGCCTTAAAATTAATCCTTCTAAAAGCCAAGCAATTGTCATAGGAAGTCCTTATTTTATCTCCAATAGATTGGCCAGCTTCCCTCATTCATATAGAGAATTGGTCCTTAACATAAGTAATTCTGTAAAAAATCTGGTGTATACCTTGACCAAACCTTTTCCTGGGCGCATCTTTGAGCATTTGGCCGTAAAATTTTGCCCTTCTAGTGTGCTAAGACGACTTAGTCATTTCCTTCCTATACGCACTAAGACCATCCTAGCTCAAACTCTTCTTTTACCACCTGACTTGCGAATGCCGAATGGGGAACTTGATAAACGGAAGTTTACAAAACTTATTAAAACTCAAACCGTCTTAAACGCGATATATATTAGTTTAAAAACATTAATATTTTTCACATGTTATTGCACATGAAGGCACATGAAGGCAATTTAAATTATATTAGTTTATTTGAAAATTATTGTAACTACGGCCCGACGTTTCGGATGCTTTGCGGCAGCCGTGGTCACGGGGAGACATACAGATAAAGTCAGTCTTCCAGTGGCAGAAAATTTTCAAATAAATTCAGCTAATATTTATCGCGTTTTAAACCGTTAAAATGTTTTATTTGAATGTGTTTAACTACAGACAGTATTTAAACTAAAACTATTAGGACCAAGAAAAAATATCAATACATTTAAATACTTAGCTGTAAACGAACATCGTTCAACTGTTGCTGCAACTGCAGAGTTGCTGCAAAGTGTAATTTTAAAATGTTTTGCGATGTTTTTTTTTTCAGATTAATAGTGACTCTGTGGATTTTACGTAGTAGCACACCAGTAGTCCGGGCAAGTGGTAGAGAGCTGTCGTTTGTTCTACTAATTGGTATTCTCCTGTGCTACTTGGTGACGTTCGCGCTGGTACTCCGGCCAACTGACTTCTTGTGCTCTTTACAACGGTAAGTTACCTTTATTATTGCTCAGAAGAGAGTATATTTAAATACGATACTTTGAACGTCAAAACGGAAATATACTAGTTATATTACAATTTGTTAACTACGGTCTAAAATTCAATAGAAACTGTGAATATATTAACTACTATGTTTCGCGTTTTAAACCGTTAAAGTGTTTTATTTAAATGTGCACTATTTGTGTAAACTACAGACAATACTAACCAGACAGTTGATTTTTAATATTTTAATGTCATCTGGTAAGAAAAGATAAGTACTGTCTATAGTTTACGCGAGTAGTACACATGTAAATAAAACACTTTAACGGTTTAAGACGCGATATATTAGTTTAACTTATTTGGAAATGATTTTTAACTTCGGCCCGACGTTCGGATGCGTTCGCGTTTTAAACCGTTAAAGTGTTTTATTTAAAATATATTATAATCTTGTCGGAATAGGCCCGCCGTTTTAATAGTCATTATAAGACCCCCTGCCCCCGTATGGGGAAAAGGGCAAACACATGTGTGTTTCAGTAAGTACTTTTATTTACCCCATTCCACTGAAATGATTATATTTCCAGTTATAGAACCTATAAACTCTAGTGTTTTACGAGTGTACTAAGCTTCACAGCTTTAAGCTAACTAATATATTTTACGTTTAAAACCGTTATGTTGAAGATATAAAAAACTACCTGTGTCAGCGACATCGCCCGCGTAGAATAGTTATTTTGGGTGACAAAATTTGTTTTTGAACACCTCCTCATTGTTTAGCTGTTTCTTTGCTAGTATTGGTCGCATCGTGATAGCCTTTTTTGATAAATGCTCTAACCAACACAAAAATAATTTTTCAATTCAAACAAGTAATTCCTGAGATCAAACAATCAAACAAACATACAAACAAACTCTTCAGCTTCATATATTAGTAAAGATAAGATCTGTTACTATTTCAGGTTCGGCACTGGGTTCTGCTTCACCGTTGTGTACGCGGCCCTTTTAACCAAGACAAACAGGATCGCGAGGATATTCGCAGCCAGCAAGCATTCAGCACGAAGACCATGCCTCATCTCTCCAAAGTCCCAACTCCTGATATGCACAATATTAGTATCCATTCAAGTAGGTGATTTTAATGAAAAATTAATATTTTTACATGTTATTGCACATGAAGGCACTATATAATTTAAAAAATCGAAAATAAATTGAAAAATTTTTTTTTCGATTTTTAAATTATATAGTGCCTTCATTGCAATAACATGTGAAAAATATTAATGTTTTCAAACTTATAACTTTGTAATTTCATCTTCAATGATTTCTTAAGCTCAAAGCTAACTTGAGCCTTAATACGCAAGTTTAAGGTAGAAATTACATTGCGCGAGAGGTGCATGTATCAATAAGTTGAAAAAACGGGTGTAGACTCGTAGCTCAATTGGTAGGCAACAGCACGGAAAGACGGCCGGTTCATGTCCTGCCCGAGCGAAAATTTTTTCAATTTATTTTCGATTTTTAAATTATATAGGTGATTTTATTTCAAATAACAAATAACAAAGTTAATAGTCAAGCACCAGCTTCACTTAATGAAAGGTGAACTACTCCATATTAACAAGATGCGTTGTCGGCCTATTTTCGCTTTGGATATTCGGAAATCCACGGAAACCGAAACGCGATTAAACTTAAGAGCTTATTCATCCGTGGAGGTGTGGGATCATCTACACGAGATGCGTTGTCTGCCTATTTCGGCTTTGGATAATCGGAAATCCATACACTGAAACGCGATTCAACAGTCTTCATCTGTAATTGGTGGCTCGTTGCTTCGGAATATCGATATTCCTACCAACCATTTAATATCCAAGTTATTTAAATAAAACACTTTAACGGTTTAAAACGCGATATATAGCCGTGACCACGGCTGCTGCAAAGCATCCGAAACGTCGGGCCGAAGTTAAAAATCATTTTCAAATAAGTTTAACTAATATATCGCGTTTTAAACCGTTGAAGTGTTTTATTTAAACCAGATTTAACTGTGTTAAGGTATATCGGTATACCTTTACAGGTCGTTGTAGTGGTGGTATGGCAGTTAGCCTCTCCAGCGCGTGCTATCCACCATTACCCAACGAGAGAAGACAATATGCTGGTCTGCGACTCCTATGTGGACGCGTCATACACGATTGCCTTCTTCTATCCAGTCGTTCTGATAGTTGTGTGTACTGTATATGCTGTTCTGACAAGGAAGATACCAGAAGCCTTCAACGAGAGCAAGTATATAGGTAAGTACCACCAGCATTGGTTCAGAGGATTTTGAATCTTGGGTTTGGGTCACTGAAATTGGTTTCGGGCAGGGATGATTACCCATGTCTTTTAAACCATTTAACGGTTTAAAACGGGAATATATTAGTTAACGACTTAGTCAATTAACGTAATTAGTTGACAAAGTGTTAATTATTTCGCTTGTTAGCTCGGCCTCTGATAGGCCCACAGAATATCAGTGTTAGTCCTAACGTAGCTGAGTGGATTCCTTTTCAGAGGCAACTATGTTATTTATTATTTTGTCTGTATTCAGTAATTTAATATTTTATTGAAATTCTTCTATTCTGTTTGTTAATATAGATCTGACTGTTTGTTACACGGGACGCGGGGGTCTGAATAAACGTATTTCTATGACTTATTCTGATGACTACGGCCTGACGTACCACATGCTTTGCAACAGTTAGAGTCACGGGGGGGCTTTAGAAGGGCTTCTCTTCCCTATTGAAATTCGAATGTCAATAAGGGGACGACGACGACGTCAAGATATCAAACACCTGGGACCTGACATGAAAAAGCACAAGATCCCAAAAATAGCATAAACGAGAGGACCGTAAGTCCCAGACCTAGTAGACTCCTAAAAGGAGTGACGGCGAGTTTATTGCCAATTCTTCTCGTTCGTTCAAACCATTTCAGGCTTCACAATGTACACCACGTGTGTGATCTGGTTGGCTTTTGTACCACTCTACTTTGGGACAGCGAGCCACGTTCCCTTACGTGTGACAAGTATGGCTGTGACTATATCGTTGAGCGCTAGTGTAACACTAGCTTGCTTGTTTGCGCCTAAAGTGAGTATTTTGAATATTTACATACATATTTAAAAAATCTAAAATAAATTGAAATAATATATACAGGAATCTGTAGCTCAATTGGTTAGAGCAACAGCACGGAACGCTGAGGATGCCGGTTCGAGTCATGATCGAGTAGTAATTTTTTCGTTTTATTTTCGATTTTTAATCTATATAATGCCGTCACGTGCAATATGCATGTGTAAAATATTAAATTTTTCTAATATATACATCCATATTTGAAACTAGCTGTGGTCCGCAGAAAGATTTGGACGCAAATTTGTTTTTGCAAACCTCTGCACCTTTGTAGATTGTAGCTGTTACCCACGACGTCTGCGTCCCGTCGTTCTTGCGAGTTAACCTTACAAGATAGTTATATTTAAATAAAACACTTTAACAGTTTAAAACGCGATATATTAGTTAAACTTATTTGAAAATGATTTTTAACTTCGGCCCGACGTTTCGCCAAATACCAACTTTGACGGAACATCTGGCTACCGTAGCAAATTTTTACTTTGACGTCAGAGACATCCTCCATCTTTAGTCTCCCCGTGACCACGGCTGCTGCAAAGCATCCAAAACGTCGGGCCGAAGTTAAAAATCATTTTCAAATAATTTTAACTAATATATCGCGTTTTAAACCGTTAAAGTGTTTTATTTAAATGTGAACTACTCGCGTAAACTATAGACAGTATTTAAGATAGTTATATACTGTTGCGGACTTTTTTTAGATCATTCCAAGAGGAATCATTCTTTCATACGTATTTTTCGGTATCTTAAAATTAATATTTTCTCTCGTATTTTCTACATTTCCCACTGTTTCTTCGCTCGTATTGGTCGCTGCGTAATGTTATATAGCCTTGAGCCGTCCTCGATAAATGCTATATCCAATACAAAAAAAAATCATTATTCGAACTAGTAGTTCCTGAGATTAGCGCGTACAAACTTACAAACAAACTCTTCAGCTTCTGTCATTAAGATTCTGTACTTGCCTATAACGAAGATTATCAACTTTGTGTAATAGTAAATGTTGTATAAAATAAAAAAATATATAATTCTGCTATTTAATTTCCAGATGTATATAATATTAATTCACCCTGAACGAAATGTACGCGCAAATATGATGACCTCAAAATGGAGAGGGAGTCACGGAAGGGGAGCAGCACCAGGTGCTGTTTGTGCGGCATTAGTTGGTGCCGCGCCATTACCACGACCAGCAACCACTCCATCTACTGACTTCTCGACTATCGACGCTGGTAAGTTTGGTATAATATTTTTTCATTTAATAACTAACACTTTAACGGTTTAAAACGCGATATCTATTCGTTAAAATTATTCGAAAATTGTTTTAACAACAGGCCGACGTTTCAGATGCTTTGCAGCAGCCGTGGTCACGGCGAGACTAGAAATAGTTATCAAATAAGTTTAACTAAAAACGCGTTTTAAATGACACTTCCAGGTTTGGAGTTAAAGTGTCGATTTTTTTGGTACACTGTAATTTCAACTTTGCTTTTCCTTTAAACATTAAACCTGAGTTTGTGAAAGTTAATGTTGAAATTATACGGCGCCGGGGTACATACAAACGGATTGCAGAAATTCGATAAGCTACAGTGGTTTAGTTGTCAAGAGTCACCTAATACTCGTGTATACCGTTTAAAAAAAAAATCTTTGATACATACTATTCCAGAACGCTCGACGTCCACCGACCGTCAAATTCAAACGGACGATCTGAACGCAAGTCCTGGCAACACCGGCAACGGCCTCTGTCTGGATGCGAAAAAGCTTGCGGAAATCGCGGGCGGGTTGCCGGCCTTCGAAGCGGGCAACACTGTACGGCGGCGGGCGACGACCGAACCGGCTGTTCGCGTCGCGGTCGCGGTGGTCGGTGCGCAGGCGCCGTTATAGCCCCAACGAATGCCCAGACGACCTGTGTTGGTGTGACTTTAAGTGTGTGTCTAGTTTTATAATCGCGTAAATACACTAGCTTTTTTAATTTTGTCTAAGCTCACATAGTTTTATTTATTTTACTTTACACATAACATACAATAAAATTTTACAACTATAGAGACGGTCTTATCGCTATAAGCGATCTCTTCCAGGCAATCCGACTAAAAAGACACTTAATAAGTAAGACAGCGTTCAAGAAGTGCCAAATGGTAGTGCCCATACTCTATAACGGCTTGACAGATTTTAATGAAATTTAAATGTGCAGTTGAACTGAGAATCAGTTTTTTTTGTGATGGAGGACAGACTTGTTGATAACGTCTATTCATGTTAGTCCTGTCGAACTGATACTTGATTTAATAATATGTATTATAATTTAGTTTTAATTAATTACTCATGTCCTCGTTCATAAAATATTATACTTATTAATAAGTAAAAAAATCTCGTTTCCCCGTGTGGCACGTTGAGTTGTTCAGGCTGTGCCCTTCCCGACCGATTATTTCCGGGATTCTAACCCAGGAATTTTCACGCTTAAAGCAATACTAAAAACGAATGTAGTTACGATGATTGTTAACTTATTATTTTAATTAATGTTGGACCGAAAATTAATTTTAAATAAAACACTATACAACGGTTTAAATTTAAGAATTAGTTAAGTTAACTTCAAGCTCAACGTAATGACATTTATAGATTATGTCTGTAGTTCACGTGAATAAACATTTATTAAACTTAACGGTTTAAAACTAGACGTGTTATTTTTTTTACACAGTTGGTGTAATAGTAGCAATGTATGGCTGATTACCAACAGATCGTGAGTTCTGGATATTTGGATTTGGAACCACCGTCCTCCACAGATGAAAAAGCCGTGAAGCTTAATCGCGTTTCGGCTTCAGTCTGTGGAATTACGAATCTCCAAGGCCGAAATAGGTAGACGGGCATCTTTGATGTAAGGCTGTCTTGCTTGTCTGTTTTCATCTATCATAAAAAAATGTCCCTAGCTTAGCTCACTTGAATTTTACGATAGGTAAAAATTGCTGCAAATTGTAACAAATAAGTTGAAGTTAAAATATGTATATATATTACGAGTTATAAACCGTTAAGTGCTTTAGTGATACCTGTTTAATTGCTGGTAGAATGGGCCTAAGTACATTTATAATTTCTAAACAAAAATATTGTGATATTAAACTAAGTTATTACTTTACTTTAGTTTATGATATAAAAAAAAACTATTGTAAATACATCGAATTTAAATATATCTTGTTTTATTTCGTACTAAAATAAAGTAACGATAGTAAATGAGGCCGCTAGAGGCAGAGTAGCGTAACTGCAATTTAATGACTTGACTTATTATAGTCTAAAAATGTTAATCTACAAGAGCACAGTGAACGAAAATTGTTAACATAATTCTCACACAAATAATAGTACAAATTCATTTCGCCTAAGTTAATTACGCATTTATATTTTCCTTTTTGAAACCATGTATTTCGTTATTAGGCCACTCTGCCTCTAGCAACCTTAAATAATTATTAATATTCCCTAAGAAGCAGGTAATAATGAAACAGGATTTTGACATCCGTATTTTGAAAACACATTGAGGAAATTTCAATTAAAACTCTAGCGATGTATGTAATGGGGGGGGGGGGCTATAGTAATATTTGATCCATGCTAATATTGTACCGCTGAAGAGTTTGTATGTTTAAACGCGCTAATGTCAGGAATTGAAAAATTATTGCTATCTTGGATAAACCGAAAAGCTTAGGCTATAAGTATAACATCACGATACAACCAATAGAAGCGCAAAAACAGTGGAAAGTGGGTAAAAACGGGCAAAATTATTCATCTTTGAAGGCTTCCGTGCGTTTCGAAAACGGTTCAAGAAACAAAAGAAACGTATCTAAAAAATGTCCGCGACAGTATATGTCTATCTTTTAAGATTAACTCGCAAGAGCACTGTTTATGGTTATCAAATTTGGTCGAAATGTCCAAATCAACCAATCGTTTAATATCAAGATAATAATATTCATGTAGCAAACAGCGAAACTACGTGTGCGGGATCAGCTAAAAACGAATGTGTGTTATATACATTTATCAGAACTTTCAAAATCCCTCCACCTATCCATCTAAATTTCTATCTAAACAATCTACAGTTATTCTGTAGTACTAAGAATACGAAAACAGGTGATGAGATACTAAAATTGCTAAAACACATCTAGTTACACATAATTACGCTAATTATGTGTAACTAGATGTCTCTGTCAGCGACAATATGATTACAATGTTTTTCAACTATATGAGAATAGCGCGTAAAAAAATCATAAAAAACTTTTCGTCAAAGCAGAATTAGTGATTATTTTAAAATAACGTAATTATAATTTAATTACGTTTTTAATTAATGCATAATTTAATATTTATACCTGCATGTACCAAAATTTACAAATATAATTTAATTTGCCCGTCGCTTAAGACAGGTTTTCGGTAGGGTCGAGAAATTGTCTTAAGCTGTTTTAATGTATATATCTTGTAATGATCAAAATATTCTTTTAAGAGTATCAAATTGAGAAAAAGATTTATTTTTTAATTTAATCGTGTACACTTATTTATGTATTTAGAGTTGTATGAACATTAAAAGCACTGCTGTACCTACCAATATTATTAAAAACAATTAATTATTTTAATGTACATTTCGATGTGTACTACTTACACCTATACTAATATATAAATCTGAAAAGTAGCTTTGTTTGTTTGAACGTGCTTATCGACCTCGTTCAGGAAATACGGGTTCAAATTGAAAAAGGGGGTTTATTGAGCAAGCTATATAAGCTGTATAACACCGCCCTCTGCCTAATAAAAGCGAAGTTACAGCGAGAAATGTGAAAAACTAAAATGTGGTGCAAAACATTCGAGATACCCAAAAATATGTATGATAGAATGATTCCTCTTTAAATGATCTAAAAAAATGTCCGCGACGCTATTATGTCTCTATTTTATGATTAACTTAGCCAGAACGACGGGAAGGTACGCGACCGACTTCGTGGGCAACAGCTTAAGTTTAAAAAGATGAAGGGGTTTGCAAAAACGAATTTGTCTCGTCTATTTTAGGTCTTTTGGGTCCCGGCGCGGGGCCCTCCCCCCGCCCCCCCCCCCCCCCCGCACCAAGAGCGCCGATGCCCAAAGTGACGAATCTCGCGGACGAAGTCGCATGACATAGGCTAGTTTGTATGAATAATATATAAGCTAATTCTCGCGACAAACATGGGTTGAACGTCGGGATCCGTCTCCTTAATAATTTTGATTATGTCACGCACATTCTTTTTCTTCTTGTCGTCTCCTTTCCTTGTAATAGGTTTGCTTGTACTACACGAAGAGAAAATTATGTTTTTTGCCATATCGATCTCTTGTTCCGAAAAATTACCTGCACATATCTGTATAATTGTAAGTTCGTCTAATACGTCCACTTTGTTTTGAATAAATGTTAAAAGTTCATTGATAATAATATTATCATTCGCCATGGTTTTACTTCAAATATACGCGTCAAGCGCTGTTTTTCATACAGCGCGTCCGTCGCTAGTGGGTAAGCGCGAGAGACTCGATTTTAAGATTAACTTGCAAGAACGACGGGAAGGGACGCGACCGACGTCGTCTAGTGTGTATTATAATATATAAGCTAAGTAATCTAAAAGTGCAACGTCATTTTAGATGTCTTACAGCTGCCAAAGTCAAACTTTGAAACGTCATTCTAAATGAAAAATAACATTACCGCTATATTGCGCGTTTTGAACCGTTAAAGTAATTAACGTAGTACCAATAGTGTAAACTAAAGTCTATGTAAAATGATTTAAGAGAATTTAGTGATAACAATTAAATTTTGTACTATTATTGTTCTGGGGGTTTTTAACGTTAAGGAAATACGGGTTCAAATTGAAAAAGGGGGTTTATTGAGCAAGCAAGCTGTATAACACCGCCCTCTGCCTAATCAACAGCGAAGTTACAGCGAGAAATGTGAAAAATTTTCTGAAAATTATTCATTATTATTGGTTTCCGGGGCGCGCGCTGCAAAAAAATTCGAGATACCCAAAAATATGTATGATAGAATGATTCCTCTTTGAATGATCTAAAAAAATGTACGTGACGCATTATGTCTCCTATTTTAAGATTAACTTGCAAGAACGACGGGAAGGGACGCGACCGACGTCGTGGGCAACAGCTTAAGTTTATAAAGATGAATGGGTTTGCAAAAACGAATTTGGATGCCCAAAGTGACGAATGTCGCGGACGAAGTCGCTGACATAGGCTAGTGTGTATGTATAATATATAAGCTAACTAATCTAAAAATGCAACGTCATTTTAGGTGTCTTACAGCTGCCAAAGTCAAACTTTGAAACGTCATTCTAAATGAAAATAACATTACCGCATATGCGTTTTGAACCGTTAAAGTAATTAACGTAGTAGCTTTAACAAAGCTTGTAAAATGATTAAGAGAATTTAGTGATAACAATTAAATTTTGTACTATTATTGTTCTGGGGGTTTTTGTTTAAATTAAAATAGGAATTAAATCTTCTGAAAAGTCATTTTTAAGCAACAGAGAAGAAAATGCACTACTTACTTGTTTATAAGTCAAGTCCAAAAATAAATGACTTTGAACACATTGCGTAGGAGTGGAATTATTCAAACAACATTGTGGAGAACACCATTTATTCTCAATAAAACAGAATATTATAATTTTCCACTAGCTTAAGTTAAAAAAAAAGGAAATGTATTAATAATTAGTAAACCATAAGCTTTAAGTGTAAATATTTTTGACGATTATTGCTATATTTCTCTGTTAGGTACGTATTAATCCATTCTGTTAGCTATTTACCGATTTTGTTAGCTTTTTACAAAAAGGTTGCGTTCAAAAAGGTTTAAATTTGATTTGGTTGAAATTTAGGGTTGCCGTTTTGATATATTCCTTCCACTCTGAAACAATTTCAACTGGGTCTATGATAATTTTTTAGCTTTTTGATACAAGGTGTCCACGACTTTACTCATATGGTGGATGGTCTCCAGAACGGTTTCATATGTTTTCTCCAGGGGGAATTCATCAAAAACAATAAGGACTCCCTCACCTTGGTCTAGAATGCCATTCAGTTTTTTATCAAGTATCATTTGGGACAATTTTTTCTCTACTTGTACTATGGGCAAACGGATGCAGCGTGCTACATGATCGACTTGAACACGCATGTACGGTTCTACGATACGACACAGATTTTGTTCCAGCATAGTGTCATATAGTGCTCCCAGATGTGCACGAACGACTGCATCCTCCTCTAGTTCTGGTTTGTAAGTCTTTAAGGCCGCCTGGAAGTCAGCAAGTGATCTTTTGTAAGAAGCTGTAGCGACAGCTCTCATTGCTTCTATTTCTTTACCAGCATACTTTAGGGCAGCTTTGCTACTGCTTACAGTACCAACCTCGTCTGCTTGATTTAACATAATTTTTGACAACAACATGTACTTGAGAGCCGTTAGGGCCTTTGGACTGTCTGCTCCGTCATAACCTTCAAAAGCTTCATAGAAGTATGAGTATGCAGTTTTGAAATCACGCTCGTCAGCAGCATGTAGGATACCTGACTGCAAATCTAGGGCCGCCTGCATTTTTGGAGGGCAGTAGATGGCATTTGCGGTCGTTCGTGCTGACGTCAGCGAGGCCCGGGCTTTAGGCAAATTACTGAGTGCATGGTAAGTTTTACTCTCCAACAGTAGAACTTCCACCAGCAAATTCTTATCGTCTAACTTCTTGAGCTCTTTTAACAGTGCAGTGGCTAGGTCTAAGGCATCAGTGTACATACCAGTGTCGAAATACAGCGCGATCAATCTCGCTTCTAGAGATTGTCGTAAAAAGGTGCGGCGTTCTTCCTTCGCCCATTCTATACACTCTTTGCACAGCTGGACCTCTATTCCGATGCCCGCTTCCAGATCCAAGAAGAAGTCGACCAATGAACGTACCAGTTTCGCAGCTTTTGCTTTACTTATCAGGCTTAGGAACGGTCTGGTCGCTTTGATAAGTTCTGCCAACTCTTTAGCCTTTCCTTCTTTCTTGTATTTCTCGCCCAAATTTAAAATTCCCTGCTCCTTGGCTCTTATGTTTTCTTCGTCATCTTCAGGTAGCTCACCTGTGCTAACCATTTTGTCGGTCATGCGGACTTTCTCGTCTCTGTTCGACGAGGACAAGCGTGACCTCTCGAATAACATTGCTCCGGCCATAATGTGTATATTTATCACTAAAAAACGTATTTATACAATGACACAATAATAGCTACACTTCTTCTTTGTAATTTTGTATATTCGCTAAGTCATCGACGATCTTTTCGGAAACAAATGGTAGACGCGTAAAAAGTTGCCATGTCCAAACTGTGTAGCTAACAAATAATTAAATCATAAACGATTCTATAATCTGTGTCATGTTGAACCACGAAGTAAAATTTTTAACCAAAGAGGTTTATTAGTTATAAATAATTTAAAAAAATATTTTGACATTTAATCAGTGTTAAATAACCCATTATTAAACTTCTATATTTTTTTTATTAGCATACAAAGACGTTTATCGTTATTTGTTTAAAATATTTTTTACTACACTCTACCTAGAAAGACCCTTAAACAATGTGTGCACGGAAGTCTGTTAAAGTAGTTATCGATAAAGAGGGAAGCGATAATTTCCTTTTCGATATTTCTAAAACGATAAAACAGTTCTATGAGACACCGGTTATTTTCTTCACGAATAATGACTATTCCGATAATATATTTAATACGCTGTGCTCTATGCGATCAGCCTTACAAGGAGAATCGCAGTCACAAATAATTGATATAATCGTAGATTTTCACTTAAATTGGCTGCATGCTGTGAATGAGGTAGAACAATTCTCTAAGCGTATCAATGATCTTCCAAGGGACGACGTATACCAAGCAGTGAGTTATACAATCGATGCGATGGGGTCTCGTCTTAACTATTATCAAAAGTACATGAACAAATACAAGCCATCACTATCCAATGAATTGCAATCTGATTTAAACGCTGATATGGAGATAGTCGAAGAAATGCACAAGGAAATAACAAAGGCACTATTAGATAAACTCAAATGTTTTCGAAACTTCGCTTGCGATTCAGAATTTACGATCAAAGTTTCCGGTGCTGTTGAAGAACTTTTGAACTGGATTGATAAAATAACGGATGGTTTAGCTTTAGAGCTAAGTAAATATATAAATATTAACGTTCCGCATTTAAGTGGCGATTTAACAAAGACATTGCAACAGATAATTGATGAATTGCACACTTCTAACTCGGAGAGTGCACAACGAATGCTGGAGCACTTAAAAGAAAAAGGCAAAGAAATTTCAGCGATGATTCGCTCAACTACAAGTCACGATCTTGAAATTTGTAAAGTCATTGAAAAGATCAACATTTTGGACGACCGCATTTCGCGTTTAGAACTGGAACCAACCTCTGCTGCTAGAATGGCATTGGAGAATAAGAGGAACTATTTAGAAAAGAGATTGAGTCTGCTTGATAGTTTAAAAACAACTCTTAAGAGTATGCAACAATTGACAGAAGTACACTTAGAATCAGTACCTGACGACGAACTGTGCGTTTGTGAGGATTTCTATGAATTCCGTATATTTAATCATGATCTTGAGCCGGAAGACCGCGAACATTTGATAACAGAACTATGCTACTTATGGGATTTGGCTGTTTTTGGAGAACGGAGTCACAAATCCATTATTTCTATTCTTAGCGCAGCAGACATCAAGGAGGAATATAATGATGAATTAGGTACGTTCTATATCGACCAGCACAGTCGAAAAATTTACAAACTTCCAGATGACGAAACTCTCTATCAACCAAATGAAAGAGGTGAACTAGTCCCTGTTAGTGACGACTCGGACCATGTCTTTTTTTATGATGAATGTGGGAGATACTTCATCGATGCTAAAACAAGACAGAGAGTATACAAAGCTTACGAAACCGCAAGCGAGTATATGATGGACAGCAGTGGAATTTTATTAAAAGTAAAAGAAGAGCGAGATGGAATAGTTTACTATTATGATAATTGTGGTCGCTATTACATAAATAGCGAAGGTAAACATATATATCGTGACGAAGATTCCGTAAGCGAATATGAAAATGATGGCTTCGGAAACCTTGTACGTATTCGTAGTCAGACTGAAATGTTTGAATTGTGCCCAGGCGATGCGAATGTAACAGAGGATTTCAAATACTTAAAATTAAATGTTGGGAAAGCTTTAAGGGAGTGTATTGCAGATGTTATTTTACATCAGCCAGCGGATCCAATAAAATATTTATCAGCTCGTCTTGTAAAGTATAGAAAAAATATTGAAGTTCGAGAAAAAAGAGCAAGAGAGAAGGAAGAGTTGGATATAGAAAGAGAAATAAGAATTGCAGAAGAGCGCGCTGAAGCTGAACGAGCGGCGAGAGAAGCTGCAATGTTAACCCAGGGTGGTAGTGAGGCTAGCTACGATTCTAATCTTTATAAGTATGCTTCTATGCACCCAGATGATGCAGATTCCTATGCTGTTAGTTCTACACACTAGTAATAATAATATAATGAAGGGATAGATTTTAGCTATTGATCTAATGAAGATATTTTTTGTCGAGGAGGCATTTTTATGTTACTGATATATTACACATTTTTCTTTCTTTGTTACTATGATGAATGATGAAGATTTGAAATAAAATTATTCAATATTTCTTATCTGTTTTTTTAAGTACATACAGATTTTATTATAGAAAATCGTAGGGATAATGAATCGGTACATCGATAATTTTATCGTCATATTTATGCTTTGTTAAAATCACATTTAAAAGTGTTTTAGTTAGAATGATTAAAATACAAACGTATTATTATTTATTTTAATATTGATATGCTTTTTATCAAAATTGTAAAATATTAAATAGTTTATTTTTTTTCATAATGGCAACAATTTCAATATATCTTGACAGATTGTAAATTGTCATGCGAGACTCCGCCATATTGCAATTTCTGAATTTGACGAATTCCAATTTTTAATGCCTTGAACATAGATACCTATTAAATTATTTTATTTGGTGTCGAGTGGTCATAGTTTTCGTTTCGACTGCCTACTCAGTTGCTTTAAATAATTACGATAAAGTAATAAAAACGAGATAATAGATAGATAAGCGTATTTATCGTGCGATTACGAAGTGATAGGACCTAAAAACCATTTCTCGTGCCTACGTACTTCCTACAGTGATTAAACTTTTGGAGCAAGGCTTTTCATCATTTTATGTAAATTAGTATGGATAACTGTGGAGTGACGTATTCGTGGTTAAGTGCTTGCATTGTTAATGTGGGAATTCGTGCATAGACGTTTCTATATCTGTAAGTGTTGTACGTGTAAATAAACTTGATGGCAGTGAAGGTTTTGTGAAAAACAACGATGCCTCCCAGACCGCCGCCACCACCCGGGCCTCCGCCGCCCCCGGGGCCGCCTCCGCCTCCAATATTCGGAGGTTCCAAATCTTCCTCCTCGCCTGACGATCGTAATGCCTTACTCAGTTCTATACGACAAGGAGCTAAGTTAAAAAAGACTGTGACGGTTGATAAAAGTGGACCTTACATTCCCGGTAAAGTGGGTAATGCACCAAGCAATGCACCGTCAGTGGGGAACGGTGTTAGAAGTGCGGGGATGCCAAATGGTGGTGCTATGCCAGCCCTGGGCGGGTTGTTTGCAGGTGGGATGCCTAAATTGAGGCCGACCGGGAAAGTGCCTAGTAGTAGTAGTGGAAGTAAGTTAGGTCTGTAGACCTCATTAGCGCATTTATTTTAATAATTCTCACATAGTTTTATACCATTTATTATGTATAAATATTTTTGTCTTTATGTTCAATATCATTTAATTCATTCTGTTATCAGTTGCGCTAGATATGCTATCTGTGGAGAAAAGGTGGTTTATTAATGTTATCACAGAGGTATGATTATTGTATAATACACAAAATGTAGCTGCTTTGTTGAGTTTGACTGCAGATTACCAAGTCCTGGATTCTGGAAGTCCCAGGTCCAGAGTAATATCATTTGTATAGAACAATATTGATGTAAATAAAAGTTTTACTACATACTAACAGACACAGTTGTATATATACACTTAACTAATTTTATTAAAAAAATTTAATAAAATAAAAGTCACTATTGCATTACAGACTCAACGCCTAATGGTCAAGCAAGAACGGATAGTGGTAGTTCTTCTCCCCGTTTTCCTCAACAAAAATCACCAGAGAAGTCCCGAACGTTTGGTACTTCAAGTGGGAACTTTGTAGCCGCCTTATCAGAAGCAATTGCTTCTAGAGAATCACCGAAAGACATAAGGGATTCACCACGCGAAGCACCATCGAGGCCGACTGTGAGACGGCAGCCCAGTGAAGTAAAAGTGCGAGGGCCACCTCCCGAACCACCGGTACAGAAAGCTCCCATGCCTTTGGTGAGTTTTTATTGTTTTATTTGTTTATGGTTTTGCCTTAACAGTTGTCTATATCTTAAAAAAGATTATACTTATGTATTAGGAGTTGTGCACTAGTTGTGCCCTAAGAACTGCCCTAGATCTATTTAAATAAAACATTTTCAACAGCTTAATATACGGTTGTTTTTTTTTTAAATAAAAAAAACATAATTATAACGAGGTTTTTCATTAAATACTGTCTATAGTTTACGCGAGTAGTACACATTTAAATAACACACTTTAACGGTTTAAAACGCGATATATTAGAAACGTCGGGCCGAAGTTAAAAATCATTTTCAAATAAGTTTAACTAATATATCGCGGGTGTTTTATATATTAGAATAGGTTTTTTTTTTTTCAAATTTAAACAGTTAAGTGTTTGGCTTAAAGATTTTTATATTTATTATTTAGCGTACGGACGAATTAACACTTAGATTATATTTAGGATATATTGGTTTGTTCCTCGGAAAAGTGTTTTTCTCCTGAAACCTATAATATAATTACATGAATATTAATTATATTGATTACTTAACCTGTATATAATGATAATATGCTAATTATCCCATTATTAATAAATAAATATGAGTCATGCTTAACTCGCAATAGTTTTCCTAAGAACCATTAATAGTCACAATAATCTCAATGAATTATTGCGTTGCTCTTCAAGTTTCCGTTCTAACGACGTGTTAACGTGTAGATAATTATTAATAATCTCTGTAACAATTAATTGATCGTTTAAATAAAACGATTTAAATGTTTAAATAAAACACTTTAACGGTTTAAAACGCGATATATTAGTTAAACTTATTTGGAAATGATTTTTAACGTTGGCCCTACGTTTCGGATGCTTAGCAGCAGCCGTTGTCTAACGTGACAAAAAAATTAAAAGGAAAAATAATTTCCAAATAAGTTTAACTAATATATTGCGTTTTAAACCAGTAAAGTGTTTTATTAAAATGTGTACTACTCGCGTAAACTATAGACAGTATTACAATTTAAATGGTTTAAATCGTGAAATATATCAGTTAACTTGTTTTAAATTTATTTTGTGTATACAAACATACACACACACTTATCAGTTACGTGTACCAGGTACTGAGATTAAAAATATTAACCACACTCGTCGTCTAAAAACAGATCTACGCGGTGGTTCGTAAACAAATTTAATGCCCACACGGGTGGGAGAGGAAATTGTTGGGCTCGTAATATCTGTACTAATATGTATATAAAGCTGAAGAGTTTGTTTGTATTGAACGCGCTAATCTCAGGAACTAGGGGTTCGAATGGAAAAATCATTTTTGTGTTGGTTAGAGCATTTATCGAGGAAGGCTATTATAGGCTATAACATCGAGCTGTGACTAATACAAGCGAAGATACAGCGAGAAGTGAAAATTGGAAAATATGGGTCATTATGGGCCGAGGTTTGCAAAAACGGTTCAAGATACCCAAAAAATATGTATGTTAGAAGGATTCCTCTTTGATCTAAAAAAAAGTCTGCGACGCTATGTCTATCTTTTAAGATTAACTTGCAAGAACGAAGGGAAGGGACGCGACGTCGTGGGTAACAGCTTAGGTTTATAAAAATGAAGGGGTTTGCAAAAACGAATTTAGATGCCCAAGAGATTCTTAGCGGACGAAGTCGCTGACAGAGCTAGTGGATAATAATGACTTCGTCTGGAAATTTGGAACCCTTCATTCCCCTATTTCTATTCCTTTGTAACAGAATAAATATAATTATGATACTTGCTTTGAGTGCGTAATGGTTATGGCTAACCAAATATCGAATGTGGGTCTGTGTGATAATGAGATTGTTTGTATTCTAGTGATGTTAGCCATGCTTACAAATCGTTTCGCAAGGTACTTGTCTTCGGACTGGCCTGTATGATAGAGAAGGACAGGCAAGCAAGGGGTTGTCCATTAATCACGTGACCTTTTTTTAGAATTTTCTAACCCCCCCTCCCCCATTGGTGATACGTAGTGAGGTTTAAGACCACCCCCCCCTCCCCCTTCTCAACATCACGTGTATTTTTTACCTACAAAGAATCTAAAAAATTTTCTGAATATTATCCTACTAATATAAATACAGGTATAAACTATAATCTTATTTTATTCTGAAATTAAGGACCATAATAAAAATGTCTACAAAATTTGTTTAAAAATCGGTCGTTTGACGAAAAAATAAATACACGAGATATCTTACTATACGGACTTTTTTTTAGATCATTTAAAGAGAATTATTTCATATGTTTTTGGGTATCATAAACCGTTTATCAGTGTACGCCTCGGAAACCCCGAAATAACGTTGATTGATTTACCCAATGTTTTCGCTTCGCTCCTATTAGGCACAGAGCAATATTTTAGCCTATAGCCTTCCTCGATAAATGTTCTAGCCAACACAGAAATAATTTTTTCAATTCGAACCCCGTAGTTCCTGAGAATTAGCGCGTATAAACAAACAAACAAACTCTTCAGCTTTGTATATTAGTGCAGATACGCTGTCGACGAGATACGGTAGTGACCTAAGAGCTATTGTCAGCTTTGGATATTCGGAAATCGAGACTGAAACCCAAACGCGATGAATCCTTAGGGCTTATCCACTGCTGTAGCCAAAAAAAAATCGAACTTGTCGTTCCTGAGATAAGCGCGTATAAACAAACAAACTCTTCAGCTCTATAATATAGATTAGAATCATTTCGGACCCGGTGGGGTTCAAACCCAGACGAGCCCGCCATAGTCTGGCAAAAAACGAGTAATCATTCATGTAATTTTTTTATGTCAAGGTTATGTTTGATTGCTTTTCAGGGCATTGGTGTGTTGTCACCATATATTTTGATATGTTCTCTATGTAATGTGTGATAATATACATATTTAGAAGCTTAAGAATACAATTCGAACGTCTGCAGTTTACGCGAGTAGTACACATTAAATAAAACATTTTAACGGTTTAAAACGCGATATGTACTAGTTGAACTTGTTTGAGAATTATTCTTAAACTTCGGCCCGGAGTTAAAGATAATTCTAAAACAATTTTAATTTAAATTTTTGGGGTGGAAGGTTTTTTTTTTTAAAAAATTTTTTAAAATAAAAAAGGGGGGAAAACCCCCCGGGCGCGGCCCCCCCCCCCCCCCCCCAAAAGAAAAAGGGGGGGGGGGGGGGGGGGGCCCCCCCCCCCCCCCCCCGCCCCCCCTTTTTTTTTTTTTTTTTTTTTTTTTTTTTTTTTTTTTTTTTTTTTTTTTTTTTCCCCCCCCCACCAAAAAAAATCCCCCCCCCCCCCCTTTTTTTTTTTTTTTTTAAAAAAATCGATTCGAACCAGTACTTCCTAAGATTAGCGCGTTCAAACAAACAAACTCTTCAGTTTTTATTTATTAGTATAGGTAGAAGGGAAATACTGTCTGTAGTATACGCGAGTAGTACACATTTAAACACTTGACAGATCCAAAACGCGAAATCGCCCGTGACCACGATTGTTGCTAAGCATCAGAAACGTAGGGTCGTAGATGAAATAATTTATTACTTAACTAATCCATTTCGCGTTTTAAACCGTTGAAAGTGTTTTATTCAAAGAAGAGAAAGCAGATAAGGGTTATTCTTTCCCTCGCAAGTCTTAAGATGATAATTGACAGACAGACAGCTCGGGCTAGCTTAAACATATATTAAGTACTGTCTGCAGTTTACGCTTGTGGTACACATTTAAATAAAACACTTGTAACGGTTTAAAACGCATAATGTTTTAGTTCAACTTCTTTACAAATTGTTTTTAATACGTTCCGACGTTTCGGAGGCTTTGTAGCAGCAGTGGTTACCGGAAGACTAAAGATGGAGTAAAAATTATTACATTTCGCGTTATAAACCGTTAAAAGTGTGTTAATTAAAATTAATGTAGTTCTTCGACTGGGAGTCGAACTACATTTATTTTAACTGAGAATCCCTTGAGAACAATTGCGCCAGTGCAATGAGATTTATGATGATTGAAAATAATTTTTGAGATTATTTCAGTGAGGTTTTCATATATCAAGGTTGCAGAATAGTTCTAATCATGCGCAAGATTAGATTTTCGTGAGATAATACTAGTCGTGTTGGTTTTCTCTGTCCTACAGATGTTTGCGGTCGGATTCTTTCTTATTATATTCCATTTCCTCGTTAACTTTCTATCGTCTTTGCATAGAGTAAGTGAATTTTGACGAATATTAAATGAAGCACTTTTAGACGGTTTAAAACGCGGCAAATGTTAAATAACTGCGTATCGTTGGATGTCTTGCTAGTCGTAGTCAGATGTTGTTTATTGGACATGTAGACTTGCAACTGTAGACAAGTTCTTTTTTACTTTATTCTTTCTTTCTTTCTTTCTTAAGTTGCGATGTCCACTCTAATTGCTTTTTGAGAAAAATAAAAATATAATAAAATCTTTAGATACGCGAGTAATACAAATTTAAATAAACTGTAACGGTTTAAAACCCGATATGTAGTAGTTAAAGTTAACTGAAAATTATTTTTATTGTTAGAATCATATTTGTGTCTCGGAAAAATAAAATTCTTTGGGTTTATTGTAAATACTTTAATAACTTTAATATTAGTGGCACGCATATTGCCACCATTAGTAAAAGCGTTATATTACGCGTTTAAAACAGTTAAACGTGTTTTATTTAGACAATTTGAAAATTTCAGCTACGCAACTTGATTGTTTACATACTCAGCACGACTTTTAAAGAAAAATAACAATAGTATTCTCGGGTACTGCTTGTGTAAACTACAGACAGTACATACAAATTGTCCGTTAAAGATTAACCTTCACCCAGCGACTCAGACGCTATATAAATGTCAATCCGATTAAAGACAGGTTGGTACCCTCCGAATTAGCTCTTACAAGCCCCAAACGTAGAGACAAGTGATTTGTTTTGCAACCAGCAGGATAGATTACATAATATGCGTATATATGTGTATATGACGCCGCTAGAGGCAGAGTAGCCTAACTGCAATTTTATGAGTTATATATATTTTCATAGTCTAAAAATGATAATCTAGCACAGTGGCTGAAAATTGTTAACATAATTCTTACACAAATCATTTTCCCCTAAATTAATTACGTATTTTTTTTCCTCCTTACTGAAAACCATGTTTTTTGTTATTAAGCCACTCTGCTTCTAACAGCCTCATATATAGTCCGACCAGTATTACCACTATTTTAATTTCACAAATATTGTGTTCTTGATTATTTCACATTTCTCCCTGTACCTTCGCTCCTATTAGTCACAGCATCTTTTATAGCCTTGCTCGATAAATGCTCTATTTAACCAACACAAAAAAAATTTTCAATTCGAACCAGTAGTTCCTGAGATTAGCGCGTTCAAACAAACAAAGTCTTGAGCTTTATATATTAGTATAGATAACTCATTCAGCTAAATAGAAATCTATTTGCATACAGATTCAGTCAAGACAAATATAATCTGTGTAATGCCAACGCCGCCATGTTGGATTTAGAAAAACGCGGGAGATGCACACAAATAACTGGTTCCTCGAAATCTGAATTGTACAATTATGGAGAAGGCTGGGGGTGTTCATAAATAAGGCGGACCACCTCCTTGATTAAAATTGAAATAATCTATTTTAGACTAGCTGTTGCCCACATCTATCTATATATTTTGGACATCAAAATTTGTATACTTAAAACACTTTAACGGTTTAAAACGCGATGCTTTGCAGCAGCCGTGGTCACGGGGAGACTCACGGCTGCTGCAAAGCATCCGAAACGTCGCGCCGAAGTTAAAAATCATTTTCAAATAAGTTTAACTAATATATCGCGTTTTAAACCGTTAAGGTGTTTTATTTAAACATCAAAATTTGTTATTGCTAACCCACTCTTCTCTAAAAATTATCACTGTTACCTACGACACGGTGTTCGTTTCGCGTCGTTCTTGCAAGTTAATCTTAAGAGAAAGACAACACTATCGCGAACTGTTTTGTAGATAATTGAAAGAGGAATCATTTTTTTTTTGGTACCTTCGCATCTTTCGCAGCGTAAGCAACAGTAACTCACAATAATGATAATATTTTCCCAGTTTCTCCACATTCCCCGCTGTTTGCTTCGCTCCTATTGGTCGCAGCGTGGTATTATTTAGCCTATAGCATTGCTCCTCGATAAATTCTCTAACCAACACAAACAGATTTTTCAATTTCCACCAGTAGTTCCCGAGATTCAAACAAGTTCTTCAGACTTCATCGATCCATATTGCTGTCCAATTGAATTAACTATAATGTCATATACGAACATATTATGGCTAATAATTTAGGTACAAGTAATAGCTAATAGATTCATATTTAGATAATGTTCTGAGTATTTTAGATATCTTTCGTACATGATAAGTATAGGCAGGATTATAGGATAAGAAATTTGAAAACAATAAAAAAAATATTTTATTTCTTATACTCTATACTAATATTATAAATGCGAAAGTGACTCTGTCTGTCTGTCTGTCTGTCCGGTTTTAACTCCGAAACTACTGAACTGATTTAAATAAAATTTGATACACAGATACTATAGAGCCTGAGAAAGGACATAGGCTACTTTTGCCAAAAAAGGGTTGATAGGGGTTGAAAAAGGGGATGAAATTTTTTATGGAAATTTCGTGATTTTTGAAGCTAGAACAATGAAACTTTCTTCTTTGGCTTTTTTGGAATAGGATGAGAGGGAGTTAGAGTACGAGTGATGTGAGGTGAGAGTGTTGCGGCAAAGTAACTTACAACATAGATTGGCTGCCTTAAATTTGGTGCCCTTATAAAAATTAATAAACAGCCTAAATAATATAAAAGTCCACCCTAAGTCACTTCACGCGGGCAAAGTCGCGTGCACAGCTAGAACTATATATATATATATCTCATGAGTTTGTTTGTTTTAACGCGCTAATCTTAGGAACTACTGGTTCGAATTGAAACATTTTTTTTTGAGTTGGTTACAGCATGTATCGAGGAGGCTATAGGATATAAAACGTCAGGGCGCGACTAATAGGTGAAAAGAAACAAAGGGAAATGTGGAAAATAATCTAGGTTTTCGTTTACGGGCGCTGCGAAGACAGTTCAAGATACCAACAAATATGTATTCAAGAATTCCTCTTTAAATCATCTTAAAAAAGTGTGCGATGCTATCTCTAATATATAAAATTCTCGTGTCACGGTGTTCGAACTTGAACTCCTCCGAAACGGCTCGACCGATTTTCACCAAATTTCATATGTGTATTCAGTAGGTCTGAGAATAGGACAACATCTATTTTTCATCCCCCTAAGTGATAAGGGTTGTTCACCCTTATTTGTTTATTTTTTTTTGACAAAATTTTTAATTTCTATTTTTTTATGATACATACAATCCTCAATTTTCACCCGTCTACGATGAACCCTTATTTTTTAATAGCCATTTTAGTAAAATTATTTATATGGCAAAACAACGTTTGCTAGGTCAGCTAGTATGTCTATAAGAACGACGGGACGTGACGGACAAAGTCCCTGATACAGCGTATCAGGAAATAAGTTGCATAAGTTCCGATGTACTGGTGCTATGATCCTTAAATCCTTGTGTAAATCAATAACTACATATAAGGAAACACAGAGTTTCACTTACCTTCGGGCAGGAAAGGCAATTACAGGCAATAAAATATTGGTAAGCAAGACACGGATCAGGAAAGAACATTTTAATTTAAACTAGCCTTGTGGATCGCTTACGGAAACTTTAAAACTAAAAGACAGTTTATCACTACATGGCTGTATCCGCGACTTCGTCCACATATGTTTTAAACAATTTATTTATTAACTTTATTAATTACAAACACCACAGAAATGGTTTACAACAATAAATGATTATGTACTAGGTTATAACTAAAAGGAGGCCTTATCGCTAAACAGCGATCTCTTCCAGGCAACCTGAAGTGAAGGGAAAAACAAAAAATAAAATAAAAGTGCTATAGGTAGGTGGTGCTAGAAAGGATCGTGAAAAATAAAGAAACACGATGTTGTTCGCGTCCCATCGGTAATATTAAAAAATATACATGTATGTAGCTTTATAGTATTAGTGTAGATTTGCTGTAAAACTTTTAACGGTTTAAATCGGGGAATATATAATCGTGATTTTTTTTGTTGACACCGTTGAAATCATTACGTCAAAATTCTAAAAAAGTATCGTAGTAGAATAATATAAATAAATAGAAAACCGTTCGTAGAGGCTAAGGACATTTACTTGGTATTTCTAGGCCAAAGGTTTGGCGTGATTCAACGTTGTCACAAAGAGGTGCGCGCGCGCAGTTTTCCCGTCGTGCCTTATGTTTATGTGATCAATTGAGTCATCCGTGACTCATTATATGTGTCATTTACACCGCAAACGTAAAGATTGGCGCTGGCGCATGTCGTGCGATTGTCAATTTCTGATTGTTGTAAGGTCGGAATGACAGTATTGTGTCTCCTTTCCTCATGATGTACTGCCTCCTTGAAGATGACACAAATGGCATGGATTTCCCACTGCGCATTTGACGGGTTCGTTGGTCTAATGGTAGAAAAGTATTAGCCTTACATAGCCACCACTATTAGACCATGGAGTCTCTCAAAACGTCACTCTTTTATTTGATTCTACAATGTTTGAACGAAAAAACATTCTATATTTCTTCTATATTTGCAGTTAGGCCTCATTTTAGAAATTGCACAGACAAAAAATCTAATATCTAAAAACTTATTTCAATAGGACACTTTAACGGTTTAAAACGAGATATGTATTAGTTAAACTTATTTGAAAAATATTTACGGCCCGAACGCTTAATTATATCGCGTTTGAAACCGTTAAAGTGTTTTATTTAAACGTGTACTACTTAAACTACAGACAGTGTTTAAAAACGTATTCACAAATTCAAATAGTATCAGTTTATTTAGCGGTTAGTAGGACCACATTTTGACTTGGGGTTTGGGACATAATAATGAGGATATGGCCCTGCCTTAATAAGGATATGAGAGGGATCCGCTTATTAGTTCAGCTTGGGAGTAGATCGACATATTTTGTTGAGCTGTACATATACTGAACTAGCTTAACGATGTAATTTCTATTATTGTATATTCGCTGAAACGATAAATATATAATTAAACACGTTTACCCGTTTCCGATAAAAAATTGGAAATTTTTTGGGGTAAAACCCCCGCCGCGGGAAAAAAGGGGGGGGGGGGGGGGGGGGGGGTTTGGGGGGAAAGGGGGGGATTTTTTCCTTTCCGGGGGCCCTTGGGGGGGGGGGGGGGAGAAAAAAAAAAAACCTAATTTTTTTATAATATTAAGGTTTTAATAAGTAAATTGGAGGTAGTTTATTAGTTTAATATATAATCCAGTGGCTTGAGTGTAAATCAAAGTAAGAGTTGTGAGAAAATCACTATAAATTGTGCGTTTACCAAAAATGCCAAGTAAGGAAAAATACACAATAATTAAATAAAATTTAATCGATTTCAGAGTACGTCGGATTCGATTTTGACAACGGGAGTAACGGAGAGAGTCAGCTCGGAGCAGAGCCTGCCCCCCCATGTCGCTACCACTCTGCATCGCAACAGGAGCTCCCTCCACTCTGGCTCGCAGGTGTCTTTGGGTATGATGTTTACTTTTCTTTTTGCCTAAATAGCTGAGAATGCGTTATACTATAGTCTTAAGGGGAACTGTAAAAATCTCCAAAGGACGAACTAATGTATCTATCTTCACTACCGACACGGTAGCTCAATTGGTTAGAGCAGTACAGCATGTCGTGAATACTGGTTCAATTCCCCCCTATGTCTCACATTATTTTGAATCTTAATCGAATAACGCCATTTTGTTTAATACTTGTGATAATTTATAAAATGTTCATATATTGTCTGTACTTCACGCGAGTAGTTTATAAATGAAACACTTAACGGTTTAAAACGCGAAATGTATTAGTTAACTTATATACAATTTATTTTAACTAAGGCCCGACCTTTTGTATATACGCTTCTAAAAGTACACAAGTACACTTATTATCCCAAAAGTATTATTTTCTTTTGGGGACACCGATAGAAGGTCGGGCAGCTGATTTGAGGTTATCCAACCCAAAATCCTGGTGGTAACCAAAGACATTTCAAATTCCAGGAGGTTCCATGACGTCATTGACGTCAGCTCCGCCCCCCGTTACGCCAGCCTCGTCGCTGTCTACGTCAGACCTATCAGAAAGACCGAGGGTCAGTCATGGGAAGCCCAACCTGGCTCCGAAGCCGCCGACTGCCTCCAATCCACCACCGGATAGGCCTTCGCCACCGCCTAAGAAGCTTATGGTGAATGGAAAGTTAGCAGCTAGAGCGCAAAGTATGAGAGTGCCCAGGTAAGTTTCTCACTGGATACTTAAACGGATTGTTGATCTATTGTGCAACGGGTGGTGTGTTCTACCCCCACCGGGTCCAACTTAGTTCTGATCAATTTGTATTTTCTAAAACATTTTGGACTTCGTCTGAAAAGCTGGATATTAAATGGATGGTGGGAATATCGAAATTGCGTATGTCACCACTGTGGTCGACAGCACATCTTGTTGAGATTTAAATAAAACACTTTAACGGTTTAAAACGCGATATATTGGTCACGGGGAAACCCCGGGGGGTCCCCCCGGGCCCCCGCCCCCCAAGACCCCGAAAGGCCGGGCCGGGGGTAAAAATTTTTTTTTTTTAAATTTTTTTTTTTTTTTTTTTTTTTTTTTTTTTTTTTGTCCCCCCCCCACACAAAAAAATGTGTTGGGGGGGGGGGTGGGGGGGGGGGGGGGGTTTCCCCCCCCCCCCTTCTAATATAAAATTCAATAGCTATTTTATTAGATGAACGTGAAGTTTGTGTGTCGGTTTCAATCGGAATTTCTAAAATAGGCCGACAGCACATCTTTTCTAGCTGATCTATTTCACCCTCACCTTATCTGTCCCCTTCACTTACAATATATGACAGCAGCTATTACGTGATAATTTGAAAATACTTTTAAATAACTTTCGTTTAAACTTTTTTTTTTTTTTTTTTTTTTTTTTTTTTTTTCCCCCCCCCCCCTTTTTTTGGTTTTTTTTTGGGGGGGGGGGGTGGTCCTGGGGGGGGGTTTTTTTTTTTTTTTTTTTTTTTTTTTTTTTTTTTTTTTTTTTTTTTTTTTTTTTTTTTTTTTTTTTTTTTTTTTTTTTTTTTTTTTTTTTTTTTTTTTATTAATAATACTAATAACTAAATATTCCAGGTCTCCACCCGTGTCGCCACCTTCTCCGCCTGGCCTGTCGCGTCCACCACAGCCAGCCACCAACGCCGCAACATCACCACATCGGCACCAAGAACCCGGCGTCGCACTTCGGTGTGTTGATTTTTTATTTTTATTTAAAGTGTCTACAAAACTAAGCTTTTATTTACAGACTTAGAAAAATGCCGACGTGCAAAAGTTCTTAATATTATAATTAAATCTAATATAAATGGAGAAAAGTCATTGTCATCTTACCCCTGTTAATAAAACCAGGTGGATATTTAATAAAAACACTTTAAACGGATTAGAACGTGAAATTATTATTTAACTTATTTTAACCGGCTTTCGAAAGGATTTAATAGCTGAGATCTACCCGTGCTTCTTCAGCCAGGTGCTAGATAAGTAGACCTCCTAATTCTAAAATTCGGGATGATACGAGAAAGTTCCAGAAAAGTTCTAGATATCGTAAAAACTTTTTAGTCTGTCCCACGATTACAAATCGGGGACCTCATGGTCTGCAGTCGAGTGAGAGAGCACTGATCACTAGACCAATGAGTCACTAATTTCTAAAGCCCATAATACTATTTAAATAAAACACTTAAACGGTTTAAAACGCGATATATATTAGTTAAACTTATTTGAAATTACCTCACCTACGGCCCGACGTTTCGGATGCTTTGCAGCAGCCGTGGTCAAGGGGAGGCATTAAATGGTGGGTGTCCCTGACGTCAAAGTAAAAAATTGCTCCGCTAGCGCCATCTGTTCCGTCGAAGTTGGTTGGTAAACTGGTCGGGTCGCCAAATACCTTTATATTATTCACGTTTTAAACCGTTAAGTTTAGAACACTAAATGTGTACTACTCGCGTAAACAAGGTACAATTATGTAATTCCAGGTACACTGCGAGCACCACGCGGTTTGCGACCACCAGGGGTGTGTCCACCACCTCCACCGCAGGGCGCTCCGCCACCCCCACCGGCGCGGGGAGCGTCACTGGCGACGCAACCTCTCCCAGCGCGAGGCGCAGCACTAGCAACACCGCCCCCAGCACCACCACCGCATCACAGACTCAATGTGAGTAGAAGTGAGAATATCAGACAGTTAGTGTCTCCGTTTTGTTGCGATCCGCTGGTACCGACGCCCTTTGTTCGGCGTACCCCTCATCTTGGTGTGTATTAAGCTCTCCAAGCCCCCACCCTACCTGCTTTGGTCCAAGATTATGTCCCCTACGGGGCGCCCTTGGACTGACCTGGGGCAGACGCGTAATCAAAACAAAATCTTTTGTAATTTTCCTATTTTCTATTTATTTTTCAAAAATGTTTTGTTTTTCGTCCCTGCATTAAAGGAAAAAATTAATTAAGGGAAAAAAAATGTTGACAGTAATAACCACGATCACATTTTTCCTTTTCTTGTAGATATTTTTTACAAACGTCAAAGCCAAATGCTATTTTTTATTGATATAGCGCTTCACGTACAATATAAAAGTGTTCAAACGATTACTACCGAATATCCAAAGCCAAAAAATAGGTCGATAGCACATTTCGCTTAGATGGTAAATGGCTTCAATTGACCTCCCATAAAAAAATGTTTCCGTCTGTCCTCTATATCAATAGAACACTATCCTTACAGAGCACAAGCGACGACCTGAACGCCCCAGCACCGCCAGTCCGCGGCTCATCTATTCGCGAACGAGCCGCGGAATTCGACGCTCGGTTCGCCGGGCTCTTCCACCCGTCGCACTCGTTCCCGGACCCTCCCCCCTTCCTACGCGTCACGAAGGGCTACTGCAGCTCGTCCGCCCTGGGTAAGTATACGTAGTACAGTCTGGATGTTCGCAGCTGAATCCTACTGCCCTGGACTGTTGGGTAATTTTCTGGGTTACGAGACTATTTTTTGAAATGAGCGACATCTATCGGAGGAAATCCGAAATTTATGCTGTTGTAAATCGTAAAATGTGACGTCATACCTGAAATTAAATTTTTAGATTTATTCAGAAACAACACAAGATTTAAATAATTATTTTTTTCTAACAACCGTGTTATGTCAATGACCTAAATTATATATAGATTAATGAAACATTTTGGACTTCCTCTGGAAATATCGATATTATATAAGTGGTAGGGATATCGAAATTCCGTCCGCGTCACAAATCACCGTCCACGATGAAAAAGTCGTCAAGTTCGATTGCAGTCTGCGTATATCCGTAACCAAAACCACAATAGACAGACAGAGCATTCTTATTTAGATCCTCTAATTAGCTCAATTCATTCATCAGGAAAGTACCCAATAGCAAATATTTTGAATTATTTCAAAATTATTATTACTTATCTATATTTTACATAAAATTATATAGATAATCAAAATTTAAATTTACATTCCCAAATTTGCTCACTCTGTGACAAATAATTTCTCTTCTACTTATCTGTGTAGCGACTTTATAATCTGTAGCAATACAAAGTTTAGTCTGTAGACATTTTTAGTAGTAACATTCGATGTTCTATTGTTTTTTTGACTGTGAAATTTTCGTTTCAAAGAGCGAAACGCACATATACGCTATTTAGTCATAAATGTATACAATTAACATAGTTTTATGTAGGTAGTTATATTAAGAACAGTAGGTACAAGTCAGTCTGGCATAATATTGATAGATAAGTCTTCTACCAAATCAAATTGTCTATGGGAATGTGTTTCTATTGTCTCTTGTCTCTGGCAGTGTTGCATGACTTGCATGTTGTCTATGTCCAGTTGTTTCTTCGTCTACCGTCAAACATTATCACTTTTCAAATTTAGAATCCGTGTTCGAAATCTATGTTGTTTCATGCTTATACATGCCATTGGTGTTTTTTTCGAAGTCATTCATTCTTTCAATCTTTCGATCCCATTCAATTTGAATGTTTGACCCGACGTGGTTTGAACGGCAAATTGTTTAATTTAACGTTGATTGTATAAGTAATTGTTACTTAAGTTAAGTTTACCAAAATTCTAATTGTAGTTTATTTCGAGTCATTATAGTAATGTAATGTAAAAAGTATTTTGCATATTTTTTCGTTTGCGATAAATGATTGTATTCAAGCAAATTTATTGACTGAACTCTTACGCTATTGGTGGTTAAATAAAACACATTCAACGGTTTATAACGCTAATTAAATTAATCAATTGATTTTTAGCCGCAACGCGATTTTCGGACCACGGATATCGTTGTTAAAAATCAATTCATTAATGTAACGCGTTTTAAGCGGTTAAAAGTGTTTTATTTAACTTTTCTGGTCCCGTTTTATATGTAGACGTTGTGTTGTCTCTACAATTGACACGGTAGCTCTATAAACAGTTGCGGCACGGATGTTTAGCGCTGAACGAAGTGTAGAGGGGATAGTTGCGAATATGTACAATCGCGCACGTAATTTATTGAACGTGACTGTACTCGAGAAGCAAGCGGAGCGTCGTATTAGTCCGAGAGAGACAACACGACTGGGGAATCAATCGACGCTAGCGCACATGACGCTCACTCGCGCCGCCCCCGCATTCCTCCCTTCGATACCTTATTTTTGACTTCTGCGCAGGATTCGTTCAGCGCTAAAGATCCGTGGCGCTACTGGTTCGAGACCATCCCCCATTCACCTCCCCTCGTCGTGTCGTCTAATTTTTGACATCTAAATTTGATTTTTAAACTTTAAAATGCTACTACCCGCAATAATACGAGAAAATTGTTGCGTTTTACAGTGATTATTATGTTTTTAAATTTGCATGAATACATTTTCGTTCAGCACGTAGTTATTGTATGTAGATGAAAGTGTCGCATTGTTACTGTAAGGTGCCATTTTGCATATGCTTGCTTGAAAGCAAGAAAATCTCTTGATTGTTCACTAACAGTGCTTCCAATATCGACGAGATTAAGAGATTGAATATTGTCTGTAGTCTACGCGATTAGTACATTTGAATGAAACCGTTTTTAACGGTTTAAAACGCGAAATAAATTTACGCAACTATTTTTCAATGTATTTTAACTACGATCCGACGTTTCGGATGCTTTGCAGCAGCCGTGGTCATTAGTTAAAATACATTGTTAATAAGTTGACTAATATATTTCGCGTTTTAAACCGTTAAAGGTGTTTTTAAAAGAGTAGTACACATTTAAATAAAACAATTTTAACGGCTGAAAGCACGAAATGTTTACTTATTTACGATTTATTTTAACTGCTGCCTGACGTTTCGGATGCTTTGCAGCAGAAATGAATTATAAATACGTTAACTTGTGTGTTTCTCGTTTTTAACCGTTAAAAGTGTTTTATTCCCAAGAATTATTGAGATGTCAGCTTTACATTGAAATCGGTGTATGTGATAAGGTTATGTAGAAGCTTAAAATTACAATTTATATGATTATATATTTTTTTAAACAATAAAAGATTAATATTTTGAAGCGTTGCAGGGTATTTTATTGTTACCTCGTTGTGTCGTCTGAAGCTTTACATTGTACGCTTTTTAATAGATTATTTGAGGCTGCTAGAGCCAGAGTGGCCTAATTTTGTAACACGAGTTTCAATAAGGAGAAAAATAAAAATGGTGAAAATAAATTACTTTCAGTCACTGCTCTTGTAGATTAATATTTTTCGATAATATTAATAAGCCAAGTCATAAAATTTCAGTTAGGCTACTCTGCCTCTAGCCGGCCTTATTTATGTCAACAGAATTACTAAGACAGAAATATATCAGCAACATTAAATTTAAAACACTTTTTATCGGTCTAAAAAGCATATTATATCGGTTTTATCTGCTTTACTGATATTGGCATTTTAAACCGTTTTTACGTTTAATTATGTAAAACCACTCACAACGTCAAAGTATCTCGCGTCACAAATGACCACTTAGTTTTTTATTCTGATTAAAACCGCCATAAATTACTTAGTTTTTGATATTTAGTTATTTTTCTAAAAGCTAGTGCATTGGTAAACCGAGCATGATATTTGGGTAAGTGAACGATTATGTAATAAGCATGGCATGGAATGTTGGCATGACGTATTTAGAGGTTGACAATTTAATGTATATAGTGATAGTAAGAGATTCGCGTGTCACATTTTTTTATGTAACCTGCTAAAAATAATCCTACCCGCGTAAAAATTATGGAGGTAGTTACAGTAAACATCTAATATTAACAACTAACAATCAAGTATGTCTTAGTGGGTAGGTTTTCTATCGATTTCTTGCTGTATTAATGTTTGCACATATTGAATTAAGCTTTAAGTTCCTTATTATGTGGCGACTTTTAAAAGTTTTTAGCACACAATTGTCAAAATTCTTAATGGAATACTAAAATTGAATATGGAACAATTTAATGCATTATATTTTATTTTTCATGACTACCCCCACTTTATAAAATTGATTTAGAAAAATATATGTGATACAAAGAGACTTTCCGAGCTTGTACAATATTTTAACCATAATAAAAGTTACTTATAGCAACTGACTCATAAAAATTTAAGGATACTTAAGAATATTTTGCTCACAACAGGAAATAAAACTTAACATTATCAATAGTTTATGCGTAGTGCCGCATTTAATTTAAACATTTTTAACTGTTGAAAGCGTGGAATGTATTAGTAAATTTAATTTTAATTCCTTTATCTTCAGTAAAGCACACGAAACGTCGGATGGCAGGTGATTTATTAAAAGTAATATTTTTCACGTTTTGAACCATTGAAACTGTTTTTCCAAAACCATGAAGACGATTCTTAAGCAACACCTTTGCATGCCACTTAGATAACACTCCCATAACCATAAAACTATGTTAACAAGATCGAAATATAGCTCCTTTGCATTGAAACTTGTATATACACGTTGCTGTTCTGCGCGTCACGTGCATTTCAATTACCATTTGTTGACAGTGAGCAAGGCGCAGGCGCCGCCTCCGCCGCTAAAACTTCCCCTAGACGGGTGGTCGGGCACCTCTAGTGCTTGCTAGCGAGCGTGGGGGGCGTCCGCCCCCGTCGCCAACACCCACTCGGCCTCCACCGCCCATCTGGTACCGGACGCACATCCGGCGCACGCGCTGCTCTCCGTAGCCCACGCGCTCCTCTGCCCCGCAAACAAAATCGCAACGAACAAAGAACCCGAAGACTTGACCGTACTGCCAATAGACAACGTGCAAATGCCCGCCGAGGATGTCAGCGACCTCCGCGACGTAGTCGACGCGATCAACCGCCTCTGCGAAACGATGAAGACATCCAACTACGACGACGTCGAAGAGGAAGAGGAGGACCTGGTTACCCCAGAACAGGTGGTGGTGCGACAGGTCGAGACTCACGTCGCCGAGAAATGGAGTGATTCAATTATAGAAGAAGTGTCCGACGCGGAACCCATGGTCACAATCTGCGAACCGATCAGCGAGTATTATACTGCCTCTTCCGAGGTATCGCTGGTCTCCGACGATCTGTGCCAAGTGCCTAACGACAAGTGCAAAATTGAGGCGAACTACGCGTCGTCCGAAGTGTCGCTACTGTCCGACGAACTGCCCCAATTCGGTGAGGATTCTGACCGTGACGATAGGAACAGCGTCATGGCTGGCCACGTGGCGGCCATGCGGGAAAGGTTCGAAAGCATGACCAGAACGAACACTCCATGCCCGGACATCATGCGATCCGCTTCGCCCTCGTTCGATTTGTTCCGGAATATAACACCCTCGCCCGACCACTTGGACAAATCGTAGGGTAAACGAAGCTCAAAAAAATCAAAAGAGTTGGTGCCATTTGAATATTTCTACAATTATTAGCTTTAGCGTACCTCAATTATAATCCCTGTGAAGGTAGTTGGGTTTTTGAGTTGATGAACCGTTGTGATAGAGATTTGGATCGCGAATATCCATAGCCAAAATGGGTCGACAGCACATCTTGTGGGGATGTTATATGACTGGGGTATTTCAGCTTCCTTCAAGTGAGGGCCGTTCTTATCTACCCTCCTCTGATTACAAAAAAAGACGGAACCAACGAGGTAGTTCAAACCAACGTTTTTGTCTCACTACTTAAAGGTCGAGAACCATTTTTTAATCACGACGTCCGAACAGCTCGAATACCCAAGTAGCTTACCAAAATGGCCGCGAAAGCCTTATACAATTTATAATAGTCTTGGTGTAGGTCGATTTGCGATTTTTCATACCCTTATACAGTTTCCTAGCGGGGATGGGTAAAGTATGCCGTATTAGGGCTTGGGCCATGGCCGTACCCAGATTTTGGTAGAAGAGGGGGGAGGCAGTAATTTATCTCTTTTTACAAGTTTTTTTAAATAGCTATTAGTTTTAGTAGTAAATTTAGTTTAACACAATTGTATTTGGTAGAGGGGGGGGGGTGTTAGCTGACCTCCCCACCACCTGGGTGCGCTCTTGGCAGTTCCTCAGTTAAATCCAACCTCGGGGATGTTACAACCTAGTCCTTTGTTCCAATAGTGTGGTAGAATGGGTTGTGATCTTACATCAACATCGTAACACCATCGATTACATATCGTTACATATATTAGCTTTAACCTGGCAATATTTAAAGGAATTAGTACATAATATTTTGAAGTAACCTCTTTTCAGTGTATTTGTGATTTGGGAGCGCTCAAATTTTCTAGTATTTATTATACTAAAACGTGTACAATTTAGCAGAACCTTTATTAGACCAGGCAACAGTACTAATAGTTCCAATACTTGAGCCATCCATGAGTTATGATCATCCTAGGGAGGGGGCTAAACTTGGTGACGTCACATTTCGTTGATATGACAGGAAGTTGGGGGGGGGGGGTTCGTGTGACGCGCATAATGGCGTCAGTCAGAAAAATCTATGTACATTTAAAACATTTGACGACTTGGGTCTTGAACCGGCATCCACACCGTTAGATGATCCTGTAATATGAGACTGCTAGAGGCAGAGTGGCCTAATTTTGTTATCATTGTAACATGCGTTTCAATAAAAAGGAAAATAAAAGTACGCAATCTAGGGCGAAATTGAATTTGTACCATTATTTGTGTAAGAATTATGTTAACAATTTTCGGTCACTGTGCTCTTGTAGATTAACATTTTTAGACTATGAAAATATAAATAATTCAAGTAATATAGTTATACTCTGCCTCTAGCGGGCTCATGTATACATATCAACGAAATGTGACGTCACGAAGTTCCCCCCCAAAGTGTGACGTAACTCAGGGGTGGTTAACCGCATTTAATATTTACTGTGGCCATTGTTGCCATGTTATATTAGTGTTAGATTCGTTGACAATTTATGATTTTTATAGCGTCACTTGTTCTATGAAACTGTTGTGTGTAAGCGCATAGTTTAAATGTTGGTTCGACGGTCGGTGATAGTTACTTGTTTACGGGCATTCGGTTCTTATATACAGTTGCATATATACAAGTGAGACTTATTGTAATTCAATATACGGCTTTATTATGAAAACGTGTTTTATTTCCACCCAAGAGTTATTACTTACAGCTTTTAACGGTTTGAAAGGCGAAATATAACTATATATCATAAGCATAGCAATGTTATATAGACGCACTAGATTCCCACATCTTTCAAAGTTCCCAAATGTGAGATGTCCTATTTCTAGTTTTTGATTATAATCATTGTTAAATACTTTTAATTGCTTAAGAATATTGACTGATAAAACTGTCTTTATTTGTAAAATATATTGGGGCCTCCTTTAAAAATGGTTAGGAAACACTCGATAGCCAAAGGTTCGAATCCTTTGATGTTAGCTCTTTGAAATATCTCTTATACCAGGCCGAAGGTTGTACGTGCTCCTGGTCTTGGCTATCATCGCAAATTTAGTGTGGGTAGTTGTCATAGCCCGCCTACTTACTGGTGAAGCAGTGGAGGGTCTAATTGAACCTTTTGTATGAAAAAAGATTTGCCTAGCAACGCGTAAACGAAGATAATAAGGATTATGGTAGGTAGGTAGGTAATAGGTAGTTTATAGTAGGTAGATAAGAAATAGGTAGTCTATAGTAGGTAGGTAGACAGGTATAAAAAAAACACAATCCACCTGAGAGCACTTTATTGAGTAAAACGGTCAAAATTCTACAAAAGTAGAGCAAACGTCACAACTTTGAAACGCTTAGAGAAAGGAAAAGTCCAAGGCAATATAACAAATATAACATCAATCAAATATTTATATTATTACTCTTACACACTTCTTAACGGTAAAATTAATATTTTCATCTACGTCGCCCGTCAATGTGGCGCGGGTGAATATAATTATAGCTAGGGGACAGGGGGCCGCAAATCAACAACTTCAGTTGTGACAGATCACGAGTCACCTGTGCTACGACCCTCCATTAACAGGAAATAATAACAGTATCCCCCCCTTAACCCCCCACTAAATAATAACTGATTAAACAGCGTTAATGCAGAGTCATCGCACAGGGAACTGCCGGCCCAACCCGCACACAACGACACGACATACGAAACAGTTCACAATCTTAACATAGCCCACCCATAATCTAGGAATACCCTCAAAATTTTACTGTTTCAATGTCAGCGTTGCAGATCGCGAGGGGCTTCATCAACGTGACCGTGAGTTTGGCGTAATAACACTAGAGACTAAACCGGGTGCGCGGTAGGACCACGTTGATAAAACTACCCTCACTCTAGTGACATCGGGCGACAATCATCACCTGTCCCGCGCGCCGCACTTACTGCTGCCAGTGGTGGTCACCCATCCTTGCGCCGGCCTTACCTTGCCCAGCTTGACCGTCACCGACTTGAGTCACTAGCGGAATGAACGCCACAAACTATTGAGACTTTTTCTATCAGCTAACGGCAATTTTGATGTCACACAAGAGATGTGCGACTTACAAATAGTATTATTTAAAACACGTTTAACGGTTTAAAACGCGATATATATATTAGTTGAACTTGTTTGGAAATGATTCAAACTACGGTCCGACGTTTCGGACCCTTCGCAGCAGCCGCGGACACGGCAGACCGTAAATAAAACAATTTCCAAATAAGTTTAACTAATAAATATTAATCGCGTTTTAAACAGTTAGTGTGTTTTATTTAAATGTGTACTCGCGGAAACTACAGACATAATTTAGAAGTATTCTTATTCGTCAAATTAGTAATTTTTGTCAAAAGCGATATCGGACGTTCGCACACAAGCGGCTCCAGACTTCGATTGGAGACCACGTGGTGTCGAAACAGTGAAAAAACCTCAAAGTTTTAAAGGCTGACATATCGGTGGAGCGCCTACCTTAGCGGCGTGCGAGACTGGTGACGGTCGATTAGACTAAATCCTCAGCTACCGAAAGCGGGGCTGCATCATCGGTAATCCGGGGACCCCACCCGGGAACATCGCGCTCATGGGCATCATCCCGCCTGGGAGCAGCATACCTGCGCATACACAGACAATTATTGCGTTAGTCGGGCTGGCGGCGCACGCGTCTAGGCCTCGGTAAACAATGTTCATTTTTATAAAACACAGTGTAAACTAATACCACTAACTAGTCTTTGATTGGGGTAACTTGGTATATATAAATTTTTGAAAGTTTTGGAAGAAGCAAAACTTTTGAAACAAATAAGATCCCTATCAGTAAGATTCATCGCAAGATGTGAATGTTAAGTTTCAGTCCAATAACTTATCTCTACGTTCAAAGTTAAAATAAATCGTCAGCGCATCAATTTATCTGTTTTACGGCTGGGGTATCTCAAGTAAAGACAAGTAAACTCCGTGCTTGTCTGTTATTAAAGAAATAATATTAAAAGGGCTCACGAAATTATCTAACTTTTGAAATAAACTTTTTTAGGTCAGTATAGTACAGTAGAGATTTTACACTGTATATAGTTTGGAAGAATTATCTTTAAACATAAAAACTGTTCGCCGAGGCCTCAGCAAAAAAAGTTCATCGTACAATATCGTGTAAATCGTTCCCTCCTCCCTAGCCCGCACCGAGTCAACAGGGGACCAGGCGGTCCAACACACGGCTGGGCCGTTGTGACTGTCGAACAATCGCCTGTCGCCCGGACAACCGCCGGACCGACACCCACGGCGCGTATATGTCGGGCCCAGACCGTTAGTCACAGTAAGCAATGTAATCCGAAGCGCACGACGAGTGACCCAGTGTTATGTCGTCGCCCATATACGCGCGCGGGTGTGGCGACCCATCTGGTGCAGTATAAGCGAAGGAACACAGGTAGGTAGGATAAATAATTCACATGAAAAAATCACACTTTCCAAATAAAATTTACTCGAAGTCCGCGCATGCACGCACCGGCGTCGCCCGCGTCCTCCACACAGTCCTCTCGTCATGCACATTTTAAGCGACAAACTACTTTACGTAAAATAATATTAGTGTACCCACCCTTTAACCGACAAGATCACATGTCATAATGGACACTACGAGAAAAATTCGAGACAAGTAATAAGATAGAGCTACTACAATAAGCAAATCCATTTAATGTGAAGAAAATTACCGATTCGTGCCGACGCTCGGAAGGTAGGCGCGTCGGGTTCGGTTAACGGCCGCTAGAGGTCGTTAGGCGATACTCGTCAGCCGTTAGGCGATATCGTCAGCCGTTAGGCGGCGACAGTCGGTAAGTACGAGCCGTAAGCGACGCCCGCTCGTCTAAATATATCCAGGTTACAAACATCGACAGACCGCAGTGCGCGCGCGCACAAACGACCGACGCTCTACCCAGCGGTAGGTCAGGTGTCGTGGAAAATAGAAAAACAAGTGAGACACGAAAATATATGATTTTATTCAGAACAAATCCATTTTCCACGCCGATATGTTAAGGTACAGTGTTTGAGCGGAGGCACATATTCGTAGACCACATATAACAGCGGTTCCACTCATATTATAATAATATTGGGAATGTTTCGTTTACAGTTTGTCGACTAAGACATCACTAATCGCATTACAATGTACAAAAGTACTCTCAATTGTGCAACAAGTAACTAAACAACTAGTTGCGCCTAAAACTATGAATGAACCTATTAACGACGGTTAACATTTAAATGCAAAACTTAGGCCTACCCTCACTTTATTAATTACATAAAAAAAAAATGTCTAACGATTTTACATTTGACAACATGTTGTAATATTTCAAGGGTGTGAAAAGTGTCTCGAGAGTTCACAGATCTGCATCAGCTAACAGTGAAAATATTCCAGGCTTGGTCTTTTTTTACAAATACATAACAAATTAAGCCTAATTTAATACACTATATGAAATTTAAAAAGTTCACAAGCATTGTCTGTAGTTCACGCGAGTGACACATTTAAATAATACACCTTTAAGAGTTTCAAACGTGAAATAAATTAGCATATTCGACCTTTCGGATGCCTTGAAGCGAAGCTGCTGCAAAGCATTCAAAACATTTAAAATGCGAAATTAATTTATTTCGCATTTTAAACCGTTAAGTGTTAAATTTAAACGGTTACAAGTACTTATAATGTCAAAATCTATAATTCTTATAGATTTGTGAACTCGTTGAAGTGCAATAAAACAATAAGCTTTTCAAATTCACTACATGTGTAAAACTTAACCTTGGAAACCTCCAGCGACTTATTAGGCTTCGTTAGATTCAACAGAATATTTTTTAATCTGCAATATCAATATGGAATATACGTTTTACACAGTGATAGAGGTCAAACTAAATAGGTCTTCGACAACTTAAAAGCTCATTATTCACCACACAGTCTATCCCTTACAATCCTGGCAATGTTAACCGAGGAATCAAACTGATTGCCATTTTGCAATGATCCTTCATTTTCCTTAACAACCTTTTAAGAGTTCAGCCGTCCCACAACATTGAAAATCATCTAAGTGCGAAAACTAATTATTAAAAAAAAAAAAACATTGTACATTGTTATTTAATAATCCCCAGAGTTAACTAAAGTTGTTTTACATCCATAGATATCCTAGAAGGTTGTTAAATATAAAACCTGTTGCAAGAGGGTAGTTTTAAAGAACTCGACTAAAACATCTGACGGACCCTACTGTGTGTTGTGTAGGTGGTAGTGTTGGTAATACTGACCGGGTTGTAATGGTCGCATGAGGTTGAACTGCGGCATGACAGGTAGTACGGGTACGGGCATGGACACGGGTACGGGCACGCGAACCTGCCCGAGCATGCCCATCATGCCCATGGGCATGGGCCGTCGCATGGCAGCCGCTTGCTGTTGCCGCGCGGCCGCAACCGCCGCCGACATGTGAGCGGCCACCTGAAAGTTGTGCTGTGCGATGGGTGTCGTTGTCGAGAAGCTCAGCGATTTGGTAGACTACTCTAAGATTGACTGTTGATAATAGTGATGTCTCATAATCTACAAATAGCAAGGGTCGTTGGAAATGGTATCGACTCCAGCTCGTGTCACCCAACGGGCTTGTTGGACTTAGAAATTTAAATATTATATTGATGGTAAGAATATCGAAATTCCGCGCAGGTTACGAACCACCGCCGAAGCCATCAGTCTATGGATTTTGGAATATCCAATGCTAAAATAAAAAAAGGTCGATAGCTCATCGTGTTAAAATGTTAAACAGCCCAGGTAATTCACCTTTCATGAAGAACCCCATTCATATCTTTCCTCTACCATTAAAAGAAGCATTTTTTATAGATTTTGATAAAATATACTTAATACTTGTCTTTAACGCTGTTAAAATGCTTAATTTTTTCAAACTAAAATAGTGTTTGATTAAGTCCTAGCTGTGTCAGCGACTTCGTCCGCGTAGAATAGTTATTTTAAGCATTTAAATTGGTTTTAGCAAACCTCCTCTTCGTCTTTTAAAAATATAATATTGTGAACATTTAAAACGGAATCATTCATTTCGAAATGTTATTTGGGTATTTTAAACCATATTCGCAGCGTACGCAACGGAAACCCACATAGATGATTAATTTTCCCCGTGTCTCTACTTTTCCCGTTGTTTCTTCGGTCGTGCTAGTCGCTAGTCGCGATGTTTTAGAGCTTATAATCTTTCGATTCCCACCAGTGATTCCTGAGATAGCGCGTTCAAACATACAAACTCTCAGCTTTATGTATAAGTAGTATACAGTAAAAATAAATGAGAAACCCTAAGAATATTACCTCAGCCTGGCTAGTGCTAGGCGTAATCATAGGCGGCGCTGACACAGGTGTACTTGGCGCATCAGGTTTCGGTTTCGGCCTATACTTGATGTTCCTCGCTCGGATTTCCTCCAAGGAGACATCTTCGGGCGGGTGAATGATCTTCGAGCCCGCCCCCGTTGCGGTCACCAGGGGGCAACTGTTAGCGGCGGGCGGTTTGACGTCTCCATTCTCTTTGGCGTCTGCTGCTGCTGATGATGTAGTGGGAGGGGCACTGATCGTCGCATTACTGAAAGTATTTAATTTTTATCTTTAATACAATATCGCAACAGTAACTGTTACTTCATAAGAATATAGAATTAAAAAAGAGACTGTTTGAGGAAATAACTATCTTAATTGGTCCTTACCATGTCAAGACTTTTTAAACTTAATATGAATAGAAACTGTGTAGATATGTAAATATGTACGTTTATATATTAGATTGTCTAAATTTAAATGTATTAAACAACAGCCCGAAGTTTCGACCAAACACCAACTACAACGGAACAGATAGGGCCAACGTAGAGGCTTTTACTTACCTGTACGCAGGGAAGGTAGGTTTGCTCGGTGTTGACACCGCTATGCTGGCTGCGGGAAACAGTGGCCTCATGCCAGGCATCATCATTCTGAAATAATCACAACCAAATATACACACTTAACATCACAAAAACGGTTTTTCTCAGTTAATCTTAGAAGATATACATATACCACAGACATTTTCTTAGATAATTTAAAGTGGAATCACTTTTTGATACATATGTTTTGGGTATCTTGAACCATTTTCGCAGCGCATGCAACAGTTACGAACGATGAATAATTTTCCCTATTTCTTCCACATTTCACAGCAAATTATAGCCTACAGCCTTAGTTAATAAATGGTCTATAACTTTCCATTTCCAACCAGTACTTCCCAAGATTAGCACATTGAAATGGAATTGAAAGGAAGGTTTGGAACATACTTCAATTAAATCGGTCGAAAGTTTAGGCGCAATTATTCTTTATCCACTTAACAGACTAATTATAGCTATAGACAGTAGACTAATACAGTCATCGATAATTGCGAAGTTCGAGTTGTCATTTTCTTCGCCATCTACCAGTTCAATATCAAAGGTGCGGTAAAATTCAAATACTTTTGTGATTATTTTGTATGACTTCCATAAATTTAATTGAAATTAATTTGTGTTTTTGTAAATAGTTTTATTCCTAAGTATTTTATACAGTGATGTGTTGTTGGACTTTGTCTGGAAATTTAGGCAGTAAATTGGCAACAGTAATATTTAAATATAATGCATAGGAGATATATAATAATATAAACACATATATATATTTGTGAGGAATTGTATTCGTATGTATAATACATTGTGAGCTGAGGTTTCAAATTCATCAATAAATAATAAATTAATTATTAATAAATAAATTAATTAAAAAAAAAAAACATAAAATTTAGATTGTATCAAAAGGTGTATTATTGTTTAGAAGACTTCTTTAAGGACAGGGCTGCCTGGCAGTGATATGAATTGCTCCTTAGGTCATTAAATTCACAAAAAATGTATTAGTTTGTAAGACATGTTGGAAAAAGCCAGACCGAATTTCTTGGATGTTCTTCTCGGTTATGTTGCTCTTTTGAACACTCTGTAGTATCACAACGAACAGACAGACAAACATATTATTTAATATGTTTTTGACAAATCTAAATAATTTTTATAATTTTACAGAGAATAAAGTATATTTTATTTTATAAAAATGACACCTAAAAATGTGCTATAATTTTTTCTAAGATCATTAGTAACTCACCTCTGTTGCATGAAATGTGGCATCATAGGATTCATGGCCATAGGACCTGGGTACATCCCTGGGGGTACAGGTCCCATTGGTGTCGGCAAGATCCCTGGAGTTACCGAGGACGGTCCAGGGCCAAGCTTAAAGGATAATTAAATAAAATGTTACCTCAGTTGAATTAACAGCTGATGAGAAAATGTATTAAATGTCACGACAAGTTCCAATTTAGAATTTGTGGAAGTTGTCATCAAAAATTTGTAATAAATTACTGACAATAGTTTTGTTTTTTGATCTTTAAGAATAGCTACAGTTTCTGTTGCAGCTCCCAACTTAACAGTATAAGAAATAGTGGCTAGAAGAACAAGTCAGTTTGGTAACAACTGCCAGATGTTACCAAACTGACAATATTGTGAAGTGTAGAAATTTTGAAAAGTGATTTATTGACGATCAAACAGGTTTTCACTAGCCTATTTTAGCTTATTACTATTTTTTGTTTATAGGAACTTGTTTTGGTCCACACTTAGAATTACAATGTTTATTAAACAATTATTTCAATTTTTAAAGGAACTCTTCTCCGATTACTTTATTAGCAAAAAACTAAGTTAAAATTAAATATATTTAACAATAGTAATGCTAGAGCTGTATCACACACCATGTTTGTTTTTATGCTTGTAGGGCCTACCGCAAATAAAATATGCAGATAGCCTTAGTCTTTATATTGTAAATTCAAAATTTTATACTCAGTAATAATAATAATCGCTGGTGGGCCTTTAAATAAATGTTAAAATAGTAATATTCTCACCAAAGCTGATGTAGCCTTTTTCTTTGCTGCAGGCTCATCATCGTCACTATCCGAAGCTTTACCACCACCTAAATAAATCAGGTACATAAAACCAATTATGCCTTAGCACAAATCTACTCTGCTTGCTACACCTAAACATCAATTTATATCTAAAGCTAAGTATTTCAAGCAAATAAAAACAGTACATACATCATCATCCCAGCTTGGTGAGAAATAAGCGTTTTATACCTGTCTTTTGCCTCTCATGTTCCTTAATATCTTCGGGGGGAATACCTTCCATTCCATAGATTTCAATTTCTATATTTGACCTGTTCGGTAATGAATTTGGTACTTTGTCTATGGCCTCTTTGTGCACCTGAAAAGCGTAGAACGAATGCATCACGAGATCTAACTACGAAAATATTACAATTCATAATGTATGGGCGAAGATTGGAATGTCGTGCCAAAAGATCTTAACCTATAAGTTAAAAACACTCCGCAGTTGCGTGGGCGGGCGGGGAGCTTGCCAAGATTTGGGGCATCTACGCACCTGCATGCAGTGGATCGATAGCCCTGGACCAGTATACAACTTCTTGTGACAGATGTGACACTTGAAATGCTTCGCCTTTTGGTGTTGAATCAATATTTTCTCATCGTCAAACTCACGATTGCAATACCTGTTATTCGCTAAGGAAACTGATTGAAACACGACATATTGAAATTTGTTTCAAAAATATACAAAAGGATACCAGCACCAAGGTTTTGACGCCTTCTTCTTTTTTCTGCCCATTTTGGAGAGTTAAAAACTGTATTAATAAAACACAAAACGCAATCCGAGAAATAAATAACGTCTTACACACTTTTAGAATAGAAAACTTATGTTATAATACAAAACAAAGATAGGACAAGAATGTGAATAAATTTACTGTCGTGAACGAAACAATATGGCCGACGCGACGGCTGACGGATCACAGACAAGTCACGGAAACGGATGTAGTTAGTATTGTAGGGTTGTATAGAAAACCGGTATTTGCACAGATGTATAGTTTAAATTGTTTTTTTTTTATATACACACATGCTTAACAATATAATCAATATACCTAAAATATCCTCATATTTTTAATGACTTTTTCATTTTTAAAATTAAAGAAAATCATAACTTTTAAAATGTATGTCTATTGTCATAAGCAAGAACAGATTATACCAGCTAAGACTTTGACTTATAATAATATGCCTTTAGAGTGTTTGACATTTAATCAAAATTTGACAATGTACTCAATTGTCAAATTTTGTCAATATGTATAATAATGGAGGCAAAGTTAAAAATGCACAATTGCTCTTTTTTAATGGAATTAGATGACATGACATTTTTATTTTGCGTTGCTTGATAAATTAGAAATTTAGTTTGTTTAATCTTTTGATCTTTTTTTGTTTTCCTTCATTTAAGTAGGATATAATGTTGGTAGGAATGGAAAACAGAACTAAGCAAGTATTATATGTTTATGAAAAATCATAGAAATGTAAATATAATCCATATAATATGTTAAACTAGTAAAGAAACGTAAGTGCATGGATTGTTAGTAATCTACTTTGTTAAGAATTTTTTTGTAATGTATATGTAGACTATAAATTAATTTAATTTGGTGTTTGTTAAGTGTTTGTGTACAAAGTACTTAATTGACACAATGTGAAACTATCTCGCTTGTGTTAGCTCGGCCTCTGAAGGGGCCACAGAATATCAGTGTTGGGACATCAGTCCCAACGTAGCTGAGTGGACTCCTTTTCGGAGGCAACTATTTTATTTTTTATTATTTCATATGTGATTAGTTAATTTTTTATTTTATTTGTAATGATTTTTTTTTATTGTGTTTGTTAAATGTCTTATGTTGTTTCCGAATAAATGTCTTCTATTCTATTCTATTATTATTTTTTTGCTTTCACCACATTCAACTACATTCATTCTGATATATATTTTTAAACACCAAATATGGGTAGGCAATTTAATTAAGTTTTAACTCGGCCACGACATATATTTTAAATTACTCTACAGTAATTTAAAAGCGTTTTATTTTAATAAAATGCGGCATATATTTTGCTTTAAACGTATTGACACGTATTTTTAGAATTCACGATTTAGTGATACAGACAGACAAATAACATTAATTTCTAGAAGAATTGTATATCCCTTTTGTAAATCCCTAACATTCCGTTTATAAATTTTTTAAAACAAATAAATTGGAATATCACGCTTTCGTATCATATTTTTATGGTTTTAAATAAACACTATAGACTAAATAAATATAGCGGCAAACACTATAAAGATTAACGAAGTAGATATCTAGATTCTAGCGCAAAATAAGATAACTTTGTTGCCCATGGGCCGCTAGCATGAGTCTCATGAAGCGTGGGCGTGTTTAACGTAAGACTTTCATTGGCTGTTATAATTTGCGTCAGAGGTGTCATATGGGATTAGTTATCAAACCTTGAGTTCTGAAGTGAGTCTTAGTCACTAAAGATACAGGAGCTGGAAGAATAATGTTTTGTGATATTTGTTCATTACAAATATTGTGAGAGTTTTGTTGGTAGCAATTTCCGGCTAATGATCAACAGGTCGCCGATTCGATCCCCACCTGGTACAATATTCTTCTAATCAATTTACAATTTTCCTGAAACACGTTGTACTTCGTCTGGAAATGTGGATATTAGATGGATGGCAGTAATATCGAAATTCAAAAGTCACGAATCACCGACCACAGATGAAAAAGCGAAATTCAATTATTAGGATTTTTAAATTGCCAACGCCGGCTAGGGTAGGTCATAAAAAATGCAAAAGACTTGGTTTTGAACTCCAACGACAGAATTTTTAGAACAATGATGTCGCTTAGAGCGCCTTCAAGGATGTAGTTAGTAGAATTTAAAACATTGTGCATTTTGTTTCTATGTATTTACTATCTATACTAATATATAGAGCTGAAGAGATTGTTTGTATGAACGCGTCGATTTTAGGAAAGTGAATTTTGTTGTGTTGGTTGGAGCATTTATCGAGAAAGGCTTTAAAACATCGAGCTGTGACTAATGGGAGCGAAGAAACAACGGGTAATATTAAAAATAAAGGGAAAATTATTTATCTTTGTTCATTTCCTTTGCGTACGCTGTAACAACGGTGGAAGATACTCAAAATATATGTATGAAAGAATGATTCCTCTTTAAATGACCTATAGATGTCCCTCACAGTGTCACTCTTGATATGTCTATCTTTTAAGATTAACTTGCAAGGACGACGTCCTATCCTTACTAATATTATAAATGCGAAAGTAACTATGTCTGTCTGTTACTCTTTCACGCCAAAACTACTGAACGGATTAAAATAAAATTTGGTACAGATATGGTCTTAGACCCTGAGTAAGGACATAGGGTTTTATTGCGAAAAGGGCTTGGTAAGGGGTAAAAAGGGGGGGTGAAAGTTTGTACGGAAATTCGTGGTCGTCTGTGGCTTTTTGGGAATAGGACTGGGAGTTAGAGGGTGATGTGAGGTGAGAGTGTTGCGGCAAAGTAGCACTTACAACATAGATTGGCTGCGATAAATGCGCAATTACATAAATTAATAAACAGCCTAAATAGTTACAAAATCTTCCCCAAGTCACTATTCCACGCGGGCACAGCTAGTAACTTATAAACATTAGGAGGTTTGCATAAGCGAATGTGGATGCTCAAAACAATTATTCTACGCGGACGAAGTCGCTGACATTGCTAGTGTTGTATAATATTAATGATACGTAATATTAATAATGAAACTTGTTTTAAATATTACGCGAGACAGTTTTCGACGTTAATATCTTTTTAAATACACATTGTTAAGACATTTGTTTTGAGATCAACAAGAAACAGCAATGTTGGTGTATGTTTACAAATTGTTCGTAAACATTCATTGTGTTGTTGATATTTGTGTGAAGACATATATATGTAGGTATGCATGTTTAAATAAATTACTTTTCAGGGTTTAAAACGAAACCTATATTGGTGCTTTGAACTATTAACCGAAGTTTTGGGAATTTTGCAGGCGTCATAGTGGGGCTAGCGACGAAAAACGTTGGGTCATTATTAAATACGTTAACTAATATAATTTTACGTTTTAAACCGTTAAAAGCGTTTTTTTAAGTAACCGTGTATATTACAAACAGATTGACGCGAATTATTTATTAAGAATGGCCAGCTTTGGCTCCGTCAGATTATAATCCACTGGGCATATATTTTCTTATGAGTTGAGACCCACCACGCTATAACTGCCATCACATTACTGATGATATCCAAGTTTTAGGCACAAGGCCGATAACACTTATAGTTTTTTTTCTAACAAATATGACCATTTATAGAATGTAGTCGTTGCCACAGATGACAAATGGTTAAAGAAACATCCAGTATATATCGACCAAACATTCAAAATCACTTTTATGGCGATTTTATTTTAATTTTATATCAATATTATGTAACGCGACGTAGACAATTGTAACGCTTTTCAGTGTGAAATCTATATAATTTTGATCTGTTCATTTAATATTTAGGATTTGTAATAATTTTCGCATGAAAAAATGCCAAGTAAGAAAAAATAAAATATAACTGCTAACATCTTTGGACCTTTGGACCTAGGATATCACTTAAAACTTGGGTATCATGAGTAATGTGGTGGTACTTTGTACATTTTATAGAACGTTCATGCGACGGGTATTCGAAGCCAGGACCTCGTGACCTTCAGTTAAAATCACCGACCAGATACAAGATAATATTTGCATGTGTCGTAAAATTCATCGTTTGATAAAATCATCTGTTTCTTAAGAAAATAACTGATATAATGAAATTGAAGTTTTGTTAGATAAAGGTACTTCAAGATGTTTATTTTTAAATAAAGAATATTGTGGAGCACTTGTTGAGTCAGTCAATAAGTATGCCAATTAGAAATAAATATAAATATTTTTTTACATAAAAAAACTCAGTATTTTTTTGAACATATTAAAAAAAGAATAAAAAAAAGAATTACTGTAATTGACGCGAGTAATATACATTTAAATAAAACACTTTTAACGGTTGAAAACGCGAAATATACTAGGCCACTTATTCTTCATTTATCATAACTACGGCCCGACGTTTCGGATGCTTTACAACAGCTGTCTTCACGGGGTACTCAAAATGAACGGTCAAAATGTCGGACCGTAGTTGAATTAAATATAATATTTTGCTTTTAAATAAAACATTATTACAGTGAAATTCCCGACATATATTACCTGAACTCGTTTAAGCTCGTTCGTTAAGCTCGGGGGCGTCGAAATAATATACAATAATTATAATATACATTCGTCCCACAATATTTGTGACAATACTCTGAAACGAGACCATAGATATTTATGAAATTTTAAACGCAAATAATCTGAGTCTGATAGTCGAATACTATTTTTTTAAATGATTAACAATTAATACTATTTGTAGTTTAAGCGAGTAGTACACATTTAAATAAAACACTTTAACGGTTTAAAACGCGATATATTAGTTAAACTTATTTGAAAATGATTTAAAAAACTAATATATTGCGTTTTAACACCGTTAAAGTTTATTTATTCAAAATATAGTGTACTACTCGCGTTTAAACTATAGACAGTATTTAAGGCCAATGTACTTTATAACCAACCGTTTTAATATTGCGTAGGTTACCTATAAACATTTTATAGTAGGTCTTTGTGGTTTTCTCTCAGTATTTTCCTTATATATTTCGAAATAAACCCACTGGAACCTGTTTAC